ACGAAAAAAAAATATTTCTTTGCGAAGTTAATGTGCCATGAATGTATAATTCAACGTAAATAAGAAAGTCTCTTTAATTATTTAAATAAGGGAACGGTATTTAGGAATAGTTTTCGAAATATTTTTATCCAGTTTTCAAAAACTTAAATAAATATTTCCACTAAGGTCTTAAATATATTTAAAATATATATATGCACAAATTGAGAATATAATACTTGATTTTCCATGATATATTTAAATGACAGCTTGTTTTTTGTTTTTTTTTTAAATTTGCCTTAAGTCCTTTACTAATGATCAGGAAAAATGCCCAACCATAAAATTACGGCATAAAGATATTTAAAAAATAACAATTCAAATTATAATGAGATAGCGCAATAAAATAAAAAAAATAAGAGATCACAAATAAATCAAAAATAAAGGCGCACAATTAAATCAATAGCGAGAGAGTCTAGTCTAATTTTCTGTCTTTTTCCAAGTTCAGTTTTACACCGTTGGGATAATGAACTGCTGAATAAACATGTGATATTGTATGAATAAAGAGCCAACAATGTTTCATTCTTTGTTTTTGTATTTACTGCACGTTTGTTTGGCATCATCAATAATAATAATAATAATAAAGTTTATTTCAAAAACACGCTTCATCCCCAAAGGCTCGAAGCGCGGTACAAAGTCAACAAAAAAACAAATCTATAATTTACCACATTTAAAAAAAATCGCAACACTACAAAAACTAATTACAAGCATACAATGTCAAAGTCTTTCGAGCCATTTCAACCATGAGCAACACAGCCAAAGGTTATTGCAAGTAGATTTGCATGGACTAATCGACAATCCGTCAAATCGATCTATTTGTGTGGGATTTATCCTAAATCGGATATTTCTGACCGTCATTTTTGTTTTCATATTTGTTGGCCCACAATCAATTTATTGATCGTTTTAGTTCTTGTATTAACTTCAGAGTTTGTCTCCTCATAGATGGTTCACCGCCCAAGGCTGACGAGTCCCATCCACCCGGGGTGATTGGGATGTTGGCTGTGGTGGGGATTGAACCCCGGACAACCAGAATATAGGAGAGTGGAGAAATCGTCAATTAGAAATAACTCAAACTCTGTGCAAATAAATCCAGGGAAAAAAGAAAACACTGTATTCTTTCACTACACTGCTACATACAACTTTTTCATTCCAATTTCAATTTACTTTCAAAGCGAAAAAGAGAGAGAGAGGGAAAGAAAAAAGAAAAAGTCGAAATAAATATTTTAAAAAAGCTGACCATTTATGTAAAAGTTAAAGGTGGTATAGGGACTTAAAAATATGTATATATATATTTTGCTGGTCTGATTTTGCACTGCAAAAAAAATCCCCAGTATTGCACAAATAGCTGCTTTTAATAGAAAAATAATGTCAGTAAAATCTATTCTTAACTCAAATATAATGCATGCACGGAAACGGTTAATTAATTTTCTACGTTTCTGTAGGCAATCAAACAAAGAATGTTTTAAGATGTTGAATGGCACATTTCAGCTGATTGGTCTAAGAGCATGTATTATATCCGAGACCACGTGCTGTGATAAGCCAATCACAAGAAAGACAATTTAGGAAACAACATTTAAACAAAACATTAATACAGATCATGAAAATAATATGTTTCTTGTTGTTTTGTGCATTAAAGGACGCTTCTATCTGAAAAAGTTTGTTTGATTGTTCTGTTTTTAACTGTTAAGTTTTTAATAACCTGTTCTACTCTTTCCTTAGCAACGTCATTTTCACCGTCTTATGTAGGAAAAAAACAACAACTGAAATCAAATGTAGCAGTGACTGTGTTCACCATAGACTTATTTATTGAGAACATCTGTATAACATACATAAACAAGCACTTTGTCCAGTTTCCAAACATTTCAATAGTGCTAACCATAATGTAATTATAGACATAGGAAGTAATACACCGGATAGACTTTATATGGAAAATACACCAATTTCAAGATTTGGTACATTGACACCGTAGGGTACAAACCAAATCCACAATTTTACATAGCTGCATGTCTTTTTCTTGTCTGGTTTTTAAATTTTACCTCCACCCAATTCCTTTCCGTTTTTCTGAACTTTGTTTTTGTCAGGGACTTGCGCCCATTCTTATTATTTTCTCTCATTTTAGGTAAGATATATGTATATATTTATTTATATTGTAATATTATGTAAATTTAATTTATGCTTATAAAATATGTTTCTTTTATTTTTTTTTTCAGTAGCGATGAAGACGTTTGCCGAAACATTTACATTTGTTTTATTTATTGTCATTATTAAAGATGAACCTATATTGTTTTATTTAAACAAATTGTTTGTGTCCATTTAGCTTTCCATGAAACAATAGCTTTTACTGTCCTAATACAAAATAAATAACTGCATTAGATGAAACTATTTTCTCCTCTATTAAAAAAAAATCTTCTACTCAGAACGTAAATGCATTAGATGGATCTATTTTTGTCCCTCTATTTAAAAAAAATAAATAAATCTTCTTCTTCCCATAATGTAAATGCATTCGTCGTGGGACTTTTTGGATGGCAATCATAACATGTCCCAGAAGAATGACGAAATGTATAAAACTATCTAAAAGAATTGAGATAATATGCAAGAATTTACTTTGATCCACTGACTGGGAAAATCACTGAGTTGCTTGTTTTACTAAACATTATACTAAAAGTCGAAGCAAAAGAGGAAAATTTGGTACAAGATGTTATTATTTAAAATTAAAATAATCAAGTAGAGTAATTAATCACAAATCAATTTTTACACCTGTTATTTATTGCTTATTTGTATATATTAAGTAAAGCAAACGCCATTGAACCTTGTTTCTCCTCTGCATTATGTATTTATATTCCATAATGTATAAAAGCATCCATACAACTAATTGTCAGCTTAATTCTCGATTCTTATTTATATTTTTAAATTTGACTTTATTTTTATTTTATTGAAAAAATTTTAATTAAAAAAAAAATAAATACACATTTTAAATTATACTCTGATCGCTCAGATTGATTTCATACAAGCATTACAATTAATTCAAGAATATTATGGTTATTACATGATTTAAAAATGCTGGCATCACGTTTACGATTTTGAGACAAATTTATACAAATTTAAGCAATCAATAAGTAAAATAAACCTCATTAAAATTAAGTTATATATATTTTGAATGACTAAAAAGTAATGTTCATAGGATAAAAGCAAAATGTGTTATGGAAATGTAAAAGAAAGACTAAATATTTCCCATTTTTGGCGTTCATTTTTGTAAAATAATAATAATAATAAAGTTCACTCAAAGAATTAGTTTTATCTGTGTCTGGCACTTGGCAGGGTGAAATTCCATGTCCCAGCTTATCTCCCACTCAGCTAACAGATTGAGATCCTGTTGTAGCTGGTCCTGGTCCGATCTCTTGGCGATCGTCCTATACAGTGCAGTGTCATCTGCGAACAGTCTTGCCTTTGATTTCAGGTTCTCGGGTAGGTCATTAATGTATGCCAGGAACAAACAGGGGCCCAGGACTGATCCCTGGGGGACCCCTGACTTCACATCGACAAAGGAGGAGCTTGTACCGCCCACAACTACTGCTTGGCGTCGGTGGCTGAGGAAGCTAGAGATCCATGTTTTAGTGGTGCCTTGAATCCCATATCTCTGGAGTTTGTGTAGAAGCAAACTATGATTCACACGGTCAAATGCTTTTGCGAAGTCCATTACTAGCACGTCAGTCTGCTTGTGGTTCTCCAGATTGGTCATCAAGTCTTCTACAAATTCGAGAAGCTGGGTCTCACATGACCTATTGACTCGGAAGCCATGTTGACAGTCATTGAGTATATTTTTGCTTTCAAGATGCTTCATGACAGTGCTTACGATTATGTGCTCCAACAGTTTGCAGACGACGCTAGTGAGGGATATCGGACGATAGTTGGCAGGGTCGGAATGCTCCCCTTTCTTGTAAATTGGAGTGACATGCGCTGTTCTCCAGTCTGCTGGAACATTTCCTGTGCATAGTGACGATTGGAAGAGGATTGTCAGTGCAGGAGAAATTTCTTTGGCTAATTCCTTGAGCACTCGTGGTTTGATGTTGTCAGGACCACATGTTTTGTAAGGGTTAATGGTATTGAGGAGGGCAAACACACCTTGTTCTGATATCTGGATATCTCCCATGACAGGGTAGGCTCTGTTCATCATTTTGGTCTTCAGAGGGAACTCAGTCTCAGAGTACTCTCTACCGTCACCAAAGACCGACTGGAACTGCTGATTGAGTATCCCCGCCTATGCTTTTGGGTCAGATGTCATTGGCCATCCCACCTCAAGGGGGAAACTCCAGCGTTTGAAGACTTTTGGTGCTTCACATAGCTCCAGAAGCGCTTGTTCTTGACATCCTTGGTCAGTGACAGGAAGGGCGTTCCATTTTCTTTTTAAGACTAGTCTTGAGCAACAAACGTTTAGACAAAGATTTTCAACTTGTAGTTCAAAATATCTTTTGCTTAAAGTATACTAAACTTTTGAATAAGAATGTTTTAAATGTATGTTAAAAAAACAACTATGATATGCTTAAAATAAAAGATATATGTACAATTTAATCATAGCACCAATCCCTTTGTTTGAATCAATATAATAATATCCAACATTTTACTTATCTTATATTTAATTTTAATCATTCTTTTAATCTTATCTTATCTTAATAATCTTATAGTATCTTATCTTAAAAAGAAGTAAAAATATAATGAACAGAAGGAGACGTTTATATTTGTTCCCTTGAATTTCCAATATTAATATGGTATTCCCGATTTTTTTTGCGCGACGTGTTCTTGAACCAGCTTAAGACTAAGGAAAACCTTTTCACAATTTGTGCAGTGGTTTTGGATTTTACGTCATCTGAGTTAATGATTCTGTGTACCTATTAACTGTTTTATGATTCTATGAGAACACCGTTGAATATTTTTTTAGTAGGCATGTATTTTAACGTTATTTTGATTTTTATTAATAAATATTTATATTGGGATTGCAGTATTAAGCAATTTAGTTTCATTTTCCTTATCTAATTAGATTTAGCTATAGTCTATGGACCATCCATCGATATTTCGTCTAACTTGTATCGTTAGTTATCTCATAATCTAATTATATATTTGTAAATAACTTTTATATATTTTGTTCAAATTCGGGTATGTCTTTGTTAATGTAAACGAATATAAAATAAGGATAACCATTCGTTTTACATTTTTTGTGTTGAAAATTATTATAAGTATTTTCTGTGTAATAATTTTGGAACAAAACAGAAAATTATGGTAATTTTCTGGAAAATATTGTTCTCATTTTCATATCGCAGGATTATAATTATTTTTGTATAGCATGGTGATTTGAAAATGAAAAATAAAATTCCAGTGGACCATTAGACCTATAGGCTACAGTTGCAACAACTGCAAATGTATAGAATTTTAAGTAAATGGGATCCTCCCATCCAACTGCTAAACAATTTGGACAAACAATAGTTAAAAAAACAACAGCAAACTAATTTGTCTTCTTTTATATAATTTATATGTGTATTTATATGTTTGATGGCATGTGTAGTTCATTGTATGAGCGTCTTGGCTACAAGCAGCATTATTTTAACTTGAAATAGAGTGTATAAACAGTTATAGATTCCCAGAATGGCCAGCAAGTCACAACAAGCTCAGAGATATATAAAGATTATCAACCAACAGCTTGAGATACTCAATGGAGAGAAGCAATCTGTGATGGAGACTTTAGATCACACTATCAATCAGGTGACTTTTTTAAAATAGAATACTTTAGGAAAAATAAATCATATTTCTGATTTAATCTATTATAACAAACATTAAATCGTTTAGTTCAATAAATAAAATAATTTAAAAAAAAAATACAAATTCAAGCATAAATTTACCAATAACATATTTTACATGGATTTAAAATTGTAGATTAAATAAAAAAAAGTTTATTAGTTATTTCACTGTGAACTTACATAAAACACTAATAATAAATGCAAATTTAACTGTTATCCTGTATTTAATTTGTAGGTTCTAAGTGAAGTAAATGCTTGGGTAAATAGAGGACATGTCAATCACATAACCTATGCAGAGATGAGCAACAGAATTCAACAAGTTATACATTTGTTTATGGCCAAGTCTGCTGAAATTTCAGGTGTTTTATTATTGTAAATAATTGTCCATGTATTCGACGAATATCTAACTATAATTTATTAAATATCATAAAAGCATACCTGGTAAAGTAAACAGAAGAATAATGTTTGCATAAACGATTTATATCGATATAATTCAAATTCAATGCTTATCAGTGTATAAGTAAATAGTTGAACACGATAAGTTTAGCTTTGAAATGAAATATGCAGGGCAGTCAACGTATTTATTGCTTGACGCCTTATTCAGAAGGCAATACTAGACTTTAAATAACAAAGAATACTTTTTTTTTAAAAAAAAGACGTTTAATTTTAAACCTAAATGGAATTTAATCCACAATTACCCTCACATGGTTTGAACTCTGTCGCTCCACTAATATGTGATACATTATTATAGAAGTATAATATTTAATAGCTTTGATCTGATCTAAAATGGAATTCATGTAAAGGAAAGTAATTTCATATAAAGCTTCTGGCTCAATTAATCTGTTCGAAACAACGCTATAACAAGAATTAGATTCAATAAGAAATAAGTTTCATTTCTGAAATATATTTTTTAGAAAAAAAGAAAGCTGGTTTGATGCTGTACCTTGTTTTTTTATTTTTACGTTCTCAGATCTAGAGATTGACGACAGTAAAAGTGACAGTGGCCTATTACAAACTACTGCGGCATCTAGCAATAACTTGAGAAATCCTAAAACCAGTTACACAAGAGATCAAGAACAAGACAAAACGATGTCTAGTAGAGTAAAAACTGTACAAGTATGCGGTGATCCGATCGGTGAGTAATATTTATATCCTCAAACTAGTGTTGGTTTATTCATTATTTGTATTGAATTATTTATTACTTTCATCAGTTAACTGTTAACACTAAATTTTTAATTATCTAACACAAAATACGCTACAATATGTTTTGGAAATGAAATTTCAACATGTACATTTGTAAATATTAAGTCATCAATTAAAGTATCAGTTAAAGTATTATTCTGCTATTACAGAAACTGAATTCAAGAAATATACATATTTAAATACAGGTGCAGATGATACTTATATTACCACTACAAGATTTGCCATACTAGAGGAAGCTGCATTCTCACTTAAAAAGACAACAGAACAAATTCAAGAAAAACAGGAAAATGTCAACAAAAAACTGGAAATATTAACAAACGCAAATTTAAAATCTAAGAAGAAATGTCAAGAAAGATTTACAGAACTTGAGAAAACAAGCAATGAAAATCAAGAAAGACTTGAAGCAATGGAGAGATCAAGCACAGAAAGTTCTTCTAATGTTGATGATTTGTTTGAATCTGTAACGAATGTTGATGTCAAGTTAAGCAGTTTAGAAAATGAAAATAAATATATCAATGCCTCAATGAATGAACTCAACGAAGAGATCAGCTCTGTTAGAAGTTGTAGCAATGACGCCCTTATGTCTATACAAGATTTGTCAAAGCGCATCGAGAGTACAAATCAACATTATAATGACATGTCTAATAAAATAAATCAACTGGAAGTCTCCATTCATCTTCTGTCAACTCAGTATACAGAGCAGTTGGAAACTATGAGCATTATCACTAAGGAAAAAGTTGACGAAACGGTAAGCTATGTGATAATATTTCTTATGTGTTTAGTGTTAATTTACAATTTCTTTAAAAAAAAAAAAATGTGGGGGGGGGGGGGGGGGGGGGGGAGTGGGGAAGGGGAATTAACGTTTTAATAACTATAATTTATTGCAATTAGATTTAATAGAAAATTAATTGTTATTAATTTTTTTCTAAAAATCTATATCCCAACTTATGAGAAAATTTTTCGAATTGAGTAAAATCATTTTTCTATACAATAATAAGATACATGCCAAATTTAAAGAAAAGCAAAACTTAACACCATTTTAATTTATATTTAATTTTTGAAATGTTAATACCATTATGATGAAAGACCTTTCTTATCTTCGTTTTTGTCTAGGACACTTTCTTATTGTTTTGATGTATGCACATGATTAAATCGGAGTAAAATCCTTTTACACATATAATGTTAATACAGCACATTTGTTAATCAGTGATATAAACAACGACGATGATTAAAACATTTAAAATAGTATATGAAGTTTATAGTTATACAGAAATTTTTTTTGAATGAATTTTAGGTTTTCAAATAATATTCATTTTAAATTATAAATATAATTATTTTAATGCGAAATATTTCTTACGAATACTCACGAAAACGTTAACGATTTATTTAAACAGAATTGGTTTTAATTTTAAAAAAAAGGATTGTGATGCTTCAGTGAACTTCAAAAAGTTAGGTTGTTAGATTTTACAAACGAAAGAAATACATTTAATTTTTATTTTTAAAATTTTTTTGGGGTGATAAGAAAACTTTTCATGTGATTAGTTTTTGTTATAACTATTTCTGGCTTTTTTTTTTTTTTTGCAGATTGGTTTGGCTTGTCAAATGCTAGCCAAGAGACTAGCACCATTGGACAAATTAAATGAGATTTTAAACAAGAAAGCCGAATCTAGAAAGTGTCTTTCACAGGTATTTTTATGTGGTATAGTTTTTTTGTTCGTTTTAGCCCCCTTTATTTTAAAATTTAAAAAACTATATTTTCCTTTAAACAAGAAATTTTTTTCTTAAAAAATAATTGGAGCAAAGTTAACTTTAATCTTTATTTTTTATCCTAATTTTCTAAATCATCTATAGGAAGACGCTGTGGAGAATCAAGTGACTCAGCTAAATGAAAAAATTGCACAACTTGGTAAGAAGTAATTAGATAAATTTTCACACTTTTTTCCTAACCTCCCCCCCCCCAACCCTCGAAAGGAAGACGCTGTGGAGAATCAAGTGACTCAGCTAAATGAAAAAATTGCACAACTTGGTAAGAAGTAATTAGATAAATTTTCACACTTTTTTCCTAACCTCCTCCCCCCCCAACCCTCGAAAATTAAAAAAATACAACTTTCATATCCAGTAGTTCGATAAAAAATATACTCTTTAGATTATAACTGTTTGATTAAAGTGAAAGCAATGATTCGTGAAAGGTGGTTTTTTTTTTTTAATTTTCGAAATTATTTAGTAAATATCATAGTTGAAGTGCTGGGTGGGTGAGCGGTTTGAACTGAGTTAATCCGCAGCTTTTAGACTAGAGACAGGCAAAAACAACACCAACATCCTGGGTGGATGGGACCCTCTAACCTTGGAATTCAATCAACTCTCATATGAAAAGGCAAACTCTTAAGTACACCCGAAGATAGGTTGGCGTTTATGTGCTCGACACAATGACAGTTGAACCAAGCACCGGAAGCACAAAAAAGTGCACGAAACTCTGTTGGTCATTTACTGCATCCTGGTTGCATGCCATTGAAAAGAGTGAGGCTGATGAATTGAGCATCTCTCCCTCATCTTAAACAAAATACAAAGATGCCTTAATCATATTCAAATGCGAAGAACGATTACTAATATGTTAGTCGAAAAAGTTCATTAAAATTTTGATTTTCTCTATTAGCAAGTTGAGTTTTCAAAATGTAAGATAAGTATTTTATATTTTCATTTCTTAAAATCTTTTCAAACTTTTCATTGATCAGTGAATCCAAAACATACTAAAAAAATTAAAATAAAGTCAATAACGGCTTTATTTATTTGAAATAAATTAGGAATAAATAAAGTAAAATGAAATTATCTATACTTAAACAGATCCTGTATTAAATTGCCAGTAATGTCTTTTAATGTGTGATTTCTTCCTCATTTCATTTTAATATTATAAATCATAACGTATGTGATAAAACAATAGGTCAACTTTGCTTTTGAGAGTTCAATAAGATTAGCCCTGTAAGAATGTTTTAATTTGGGGTTTCTTGTAATGAGGTTAAAGCAAAATGATTTACGAAACAAAGGGTAGTGAAAAAAAATCAGAAAAAAGACACACAAAAAATTCCCCACGAAAGCCTTGGAAAAAAGCCTCTATTAACGGACACAACGAGATAATTAGAGAATAAAAAGTTCATGAATAATAGAAACTTATTGGAATACTACAATTGTGTGAGAGTCATTTGGAGACATTTAGTGTTGTTCGTCCGTCAAGATCGACAAAGTCCATCTAGCCATCCGGTTGGGTTGGAGGCTGGGTCACGGGTGAGTTCGAAGGTGGCTTGCTAGTCCGATCCGTGCTCCGAATTGTCTCTGGCACCGCGGGCAGGGGATGATTGCCGTAGTCGGTGGTCCAAGGTGGTCGAATTAGACACTCATAACAAAGTAAACGCACAACTCACTACCAAAGAATAATGAATTAAGTACTACATGGCATGTGGATCCTTGAATCGAAAGGCAGGGACAATAAGATGATGTTTTGGCTAATAGACTTATTCAGCATACGGGAAAAGGAGAATACGTCAAGACAAAGAATCAGGTTAAAAACTTAAGTTATCATCATAGTTATTGCCGGAAGTTAAATATTCCAAAACCAAGATTACAGGCCCTGAAATAATATATACTATAGAAAGCTCACGTCAATGAAAAGCACAACTGCTTCTATTACCACTAGACCACAAGATAGGCGTGTCCCTAATTTCGGGCAAGCTTTCCTAGCGTAAACAGAACTAACAAGACACCTTCATACTCTACGTCGAATTATAAGCTGCTTAATATCCAATGGATAGCTACATTGTTTGAGCTACAGAATGCACTGTTCTGGGTCAGAAAGAAATGTGATGACGACAAAAGGAGAAAAAAAAACTATTCTAACAATACACAAACGGAATTTTTATTAAATTATTTATAGAATTTAAAAAAAAAAAAAAAAAAAAAAAAAAAAAAAAAAAAAAAAAAAAAAAAATAAAAACAAAAAAAAAGAAAAAAAAAAAAATAAAAAAAAAAAAAAAAAAAAAAATTTTAAAAAAAAAATAAAAAAAAAAAAAAAAAAAAAAAAAAAAAAAAAAAAAAAGAAAAAAAAAAGAAAAACTCAATCTCTGTTTATTTGAATAAATGATCCCCCAAAATTGGAAAAAAAAATACGTTTCTTTTTATTTTAGTGTAGAGTACAATCAAATACACTGTAATTACAGTTAACAATCTTTAAAATGGTCAATTTCTTTGTGTTGTGCAAAGGGTTTGGTTTTAAATCACTCTTAATTATTTTTTTTCCTCTCGTTCACAGAACTCAAATGTAATTTTCCAAATGTTGGATTTTTTGCGTGGACAACAATTGCCGCATCACAGAATTTGCTGCTTTACGTTAGGAAGTTTGATCACGTTGACGCCAACTACGGAAATCACTTTGATTCACTGACCGGAAAATTCACCGTTCCACTGAATGGCTCGTATTTGATAAGCATGAGTGCATCACAAGAAGACATAAATGGCAAGATGTATGCTGGTTGCTATCTTAGGAGTAATAATAGGCTATTTGAAGAAGCAGACCCCGTTATTTTTTTGAATGGAACTTGGAATCAATCAGTAACACGGTGTTCTGAAATGTCAGCAGGAGACGTCATCTATTTGAAATCGGCGTTTGCGGAAACACATCCTAAAAATAAGATAATGTTTTATTTTTCATGTTTTATGATTAAAGGGTGAACGCTTTGAACCGTATCTTCTTCTACATATAATCGCAGGATTTGAAACACGAATTTAAAATAAATTATAAAAGAAATATAAAAACTTTAAAATTATGAATTTGTAAAATAACTTTTACCAAAAAGTGTATAAATATATACGCCGAGATCAATACAAGTCAAGTTTTGCACCTCTTAGAAAGTAAAACAATATCACAATTCTCTGAGAACTCAACCTAATAAAAAAAAATGATGACATAGAGTACAAATAATTGTTCCTTCATTTAAATGTTGAAAAAAAGCCGCATTAAGAAAATGTACAATATCCAAAAGAATAAATATTAATTTTGATGTATTTTATATTTAAACTTAAAATGAAAACAAAGTGTAATAATGAAAAAATAATCATACAAATTTAATATTTTGTCTCTTATTTTAACATGGTATAACGTCATTACATTACATTATTGTTCCGTTGTTGCATTATTTTAAATATTCATTAAGTGACATATTAATTAAGTTTTAGAGAAAATGCATTTAATTTTTAAAATTATTTTATGTGAGTACATTGGATGGTACGGAGGGAGTAGTGTTATTAACACAAAAATACAATGTTATCATAGTTAAATACCAGACGTTGGCGTGGAACCTGACCCACCACAATTAGGCAGAGTTAACAGTCATTATAAAATACCTAATGTTTCAAGTTTTGTTCGTTTCTTTTAACTACCTCTGGAGGACTTCACTTATTGCGAGTGACGTTACGATACGTCTCAAAGCATATTCTTGCTATGGCTTTTCTGTGGTGCCGACTTCTTTACCTTACCTTGGTTGTCAAGGAGATACAAGCAAAATGACCTTCCTGCATCACTATCCTCTTTTTATGTTTAAAATCGTGAGCCATGTTGGGTTGATCACACTGGATCAATAGATGTAAAATGATCTTGAAGCTTGTCAAAAGCAACAGTTGAAAGCAAACGATTTTCAAAGTTGAAACTTTAACAAACTAACAAGTAACACCTTTGTCAAACTGCTATCCTGGGTATCATTGCGGCACAGGAGATGACATTGTTGCGCTGCTTCTTACAATGTTGTATATGGTTCTCATTTGAAGGGCCGAATGAACTCAATATCCATGTAGTACATAAATATATAAAATTCAATAACAATCTAAGTTCGCATTTTTTAAAATCTCATATACAGTAATGTGTTTGCATTTATTATTATTATTATTTTTTTTAAAGTTTAGCTTTCACAAAAAAATGATTTAATGAAATTTACATGATTGATTCTTGAACATGTACTTTAAGATGTACTGTTTCCGTTAAGAGACTTGCAAACCTTAATATTGATTAATATGTGCATAGATTTCAGAAGAAGAAATGTGTTTGTAAGTTCTTAGGCATCGAAGTTTAAAAATGAACTAACTTCCACTAGCCACACCCCTCTAGCTACTGTACATCAACTACTGGGCTTCTCCAAGAAAAAAACGTGAACTCTTGTAAACTAACTATCAACTCATGTGAACCAGATCGAAATCATCGTTAGTCAAGCAAGGAACATAACCCAAACTAAACATCCTACACTTGAAGAACTATTTGAAAATAGATGCTTTTGTACAATTAAACACATTTTGGATGACACATCCCACCCTCTTTATTTCAAATACTTAGAATCGGACCATTTGGGACGAATTCTTTCCATCAAGGCGAGGACAGAAAGATATAAAAATTCTTTTGTTCCCCAATCTGTACAAATTTACCGTCGTGCTCCCTCTGAAGTCACACATCTTTATGAGAACTAATAAGTCCCGATTTGGCTAAGAGAACTCACTGAATGGCCGTTTAAAATAATTTTTTATAAATGTCTTGTGTTCAAATTTTTTTATTTATGTGCTGAAAATGTATATTGCAATAAAAAAGAAATTCCATTTACTTGGATCAATAACATAATCTTAACTTATCTTAAAAAAATATAGGTTTAAGAAGATATAATTGTCTAAAAATATGATTTGCAAGTTTTTTCAAGGTCCTCAGTTACGCGAGTTAACTCTAATCTATAAAACTAAATTATTTTGATTGTTATTCAATTTTTATTCTGCGTGATGAAAAAGAAGAAATACTTGTTACGTAAGTGTTAAGCATAAATTATCTGAAAAATAGAAATTACAGTTGATCATGTTACGAATCTGTACTTTCAACGGGCTGCTGACCATTTTTTTATGGAACATAGAATGTATCGATTCATGTAACTTTACTGGATAATCCATTTCTTCAGCTGATTCAGCTCAAAAAAGACAAAAAATCGTTCTGTTTTTTTTTAAAATCATGCAGCATCCAAACTATATTACAATCAAAGTAATTGAGTTCCCACACAGTAGTTGACTTTAACATATGTTAACCCCAATCTGTCCCCAACCCACGTTTACAAACAGTTCAATACAATGCGTTATTGATCTGTTCTCGTAGACAACGAGGGTTATCATTTTGTCATAATTATTTATTTTTCTTTTGTAATTTATGAACTAAATACTATAATAATTAAAGGACTGCGTTCGAGCCTAGTAATTGAAATAGCAAAACGAGGTATGTGGACGCTTGTGTCAATATTTATATCCTCTCGCTTCCTGTGTTCCCACTTCCGGCGACAACAATGGATAGTTCTTTAGTTGTTTACTGTGTTCTGTTCCTTGTGATATCTTCATTTGTCCTGTGCGTCGAAGAAGGATTTATGCAGAAAAGACAAAATCTTTGGGCCCTGTTCTCAAATTCAAGCTTCCGCATACTTAATACTAGGTGTTAAACAAAATAAAAAAAATTAATTAAAAAAAAATGCTATAAAGACATACTAAAGCCTAAGTGAATATTCTCGATGTGGACACGGACACATGGGAAGAATCGGTAATGGATAATGTATCGTGGCGTTCCACTGGTTACAAAGCCTCCATACAACATTAACCAACACAATAATAATAATAAAGTTCATTTCAAAAACACGCTTCATCCCGAAAGGCACGAAGCGCGGTACAAAGTCAACAAAAAACAAATCTATAATTTACCACATTTAAAACAAACGCAACACTACAAAGACTAATTACAAGCATACAATGGCAAAGTCTGTCTAGCCATTTCAACCATAAGCAACACAGCCATTATGCATTAACTGGAAAATAAGGTAGACAATCACTTGGTTCGCTTTTTTAAAAAAAAATGTATTTTTTTCGATCTATCAAATCCATTTATTTTTAATCCTCAAAGACGTGCATTTGTTTAGTGTATATTAGAAAAACTGTTAGCCTCGTTCATAATATGACCAACACCGCTTTGCTACAGTTGTTAGCACTGCGATCAGTGTTTTGGTAGTGTGTCACCCCCCTTCTCCGTTAGCGACCAAAATCACAGTACTACATTTATATTAATTACTTTTTTTTCTTTTATCCATGATATAATATAAATATACAATATAGAGGAGACAAAATACAACATTGTAAGATATACAAAATATAAAACTATAGTTAATCAACTGAAAGCAACTGTCCAAAACTGTATGTGTCATGTGTGAAAACTAATTATACATGAAACGATCATATAAGAGTGGGTTATTTATGATGCTACAAGTTGTATGTTGTAATTATCGCTTACATTATACATCTATACTTTCTTACGTCCATTTTCATCCAAAACAAGTGCCGGAGGACGCCTTGAATTAGCACAACGATATTTATTGACTGATGAACGAACAAACAATAAAACAATACCTCTGTAGATCAGAGTAAATTTAAATGTCACATATTTAACTTCTTCCAATTAACAAAATCAACATTAAGATGCTGTTTTAATAATCAAATGAACATTGTCATGGCTAAATTAAGAAATCTCCAACGGTCACTTTGTCCATACTTCTATCCCATAATTCCTTAACTTCCTGTTATTTCTACTTAACAAAACAATACATTATTTTACGAAACACAGTGGATATCTAAATATTAGATCTGTGACAATACAAAAAGAAAAAAAAAGTCAGTAAATGGGGGAGATAGATATCAAGCTTAGAACCTTGGACAAGCACAGTGTAGTAGTAATGTAATGTTGATCTTTTTTTAAAAAATATAGTTTGTCAAAATTTTGTGTCACGTCCAAATTCACATACAGTGCACACAGATCACACAATGCTAATGATACTATCAGTCTATCAACAACAGAGGCGTTGTGGAGTTCATTGAAAGACAGTGACTATCGTTTATTATAAATACACACTCACGAATAAGTAATCATAATCACACATAAAGAATACTTATCATAATCATAACCTCTTCATTATCTTATCAACTAATTAATATCTTCATATCATGGACTTAAACTTATAACAACCGCCATGATTCTCTCTCCATCTTTTTCCTCTCTCTGATTGGTCCGTCTTTTCCAAGTTCTATACTCTATAAGTTATAAGTCCTCATTCTCACCTCTCTTAACTCCCTTAACTCAACTTATCTCCGTGACATTTTGATAAATTTTCATCTACTGGCTTAATATTGGCGATTTCTGATTAATCGGTTCAATCCTGCTTAAAATATATTTCGGAGAATTTAAGTTACTTCCAAAAAGTATGTTTAGTTATTAAAAAAAGAATGAAAAAAAAAGAAAGAAAATTTGTTAAGGACCATACAATTTGCAATATTTATTCCACAGTTCACTGAATTTATCCTTGTTCCCTCCTCTATATATCACCAGTATCCTCAATAAAAAGTAACGAATAATAAATTGTTAAATGTATCATTTACCTTTTAAAACTCATATACCCAATTTCATGATAAATTAAGAGCTAAGTTCTCATTATAGCTTTATTATAAACATATTTAAAACCCCAACGCTAAAGAAAAAACTAAAGAAACGGCCAAAGAAAAGGTCTAGATATAATTTATAAATAAATACAGCACGGTTACCGAAAAATAAATAATTAAACTTGAGCCAAAAGCACACATAGTGTTTCCAGATATTTAAGTATTCTTCACGATGGATAAGAAGCCTTACATATATGCTGCATGCATGTTATGATACCCTAACCCCGAGGTCATATTCCGGCGTTTTGCGCTAAACATGGTTTCGTAATAGCGGGGCCTATAATGCCATATAAACTTAAGTTTAAGATTTTTTATATATTTAAAAAAAAAATTAAATCAGCCTTTTTTTTATGTTTACGTAAAGAAAACAACCTACGAAACAAATAAGATGAATTTTAAATTATATTTCCTTCATCAGATTGAAAAAATAGCTACACAATTATTTCAAGAAAATTGTGTTATTTTAAAGACAAAAAAGACACACACAAAAAGAAAACGTTGACATAGATGCGAATTTGAGTCACATTATATAAAATTATAAAAAAATCAAATAAATACATAAAATAAATCTGATTGAAAAATTAAGGTTTAGTCATTTTTAGTGAATAAAAATTACTGCTCTCAATTACAGTGATATACCTATTATTAGTCTTTATTTTATATTTTAATCTCCCAATTTGTTCTCCTTGGAGAAACTGATCGTCTAAATGATTTGCATAAGGTATTTTTTACAAACTGGTTTGGGCAACAAAAAAGATAGACAAACACTTTGTAGTTGTAGTGAAATTGTGTCGTTTAAAAATATATCAATACGAGTTTTTAAACTGTGTTGGTTTTTAAATTGTATTTAAATCTGAGTGCTTAAATTAAAAGAAAATAGACGTACATTTTAATAAAACACTTTGACAGTTTAGGGAATATAAAAAAAAAATAATTTTTTCTTATCTGGTCTTTGTAATCTTGTTATCTTATAAAAATGGTGATGGCAAAAGAAAAAAGAAGCAGAAGTTTTTAAATTTTTGCCTTCCTGAATTTGAAATATTAATATAAATTCCCGATTTCATAGTCTCAAGTGTGATCTTCAACTTGCTTGGGAGTAATCTTTCAAAATGCATTTAGCTTAATTAGATTTATTTCATCTCAGTTCATTATTTTTTAAATGTTGTTACAAGCTTCTGTGTTCATTGAAAATATCGGTGAAATACTGTAGTACTAAAATATTATTTAAATTTATTCGACTTTATAAAAGCCATTTAGTTTCACTTTCCATTTCACACTAGATGTTCCCATTGACCGTCACACGATTTTCCTTCAACCCTCATATATTAGTGATTTGTCAATAAATTCATATATTTGTAAATTACATTAATTATATATTATGTTCTAAGTCAGGTGTACCTTTATTTCAACGCATGTGCATTGTAGCATATAAAAGGTAAACACAGAGTAATCTGATGGTAGTGATTTAAAATAAATCGAACTGTTCACTTATTTATTTTTTTTGAAAAATATCACTTGCTTTCTCAATGTCTTATTTTATCGACACAATAGCAAGTACATTTTTTTTTTCTAAGCACGTATTTTTTCTTTAAATTAATATCATTTGCATTATTTTCTATACGGTGAGTAAGAAATGAAAATAAAAAACCACACAAAAACTTTAGAAATCCATTTAGCCTTTTCATTGGCAAAACCTGAAAACTTGTTTAATTTCTTGATAAATAGCATCCTCCCGTGATTCGATAAACAATTATAATAATAAGAAAAGACTATACTAAGTTTGTGAGTTTCATCTGTGTATTTGCCTATTGAAACATTTGGTTTGTGTGTGCATTAATGAGAGTCTTGACTAAAACTAATATATTTCAACTTGAAAGTGTCTTGATTAATAGTTTAAGATGTCCAGAATGGCCATCATCGCACAACCAACTCAAAGATTTATCAACCTAATCAACCAACAAATTGAGATACTCAAAGGAGAGAGGCAAATTGTGATAGACACTTTAGATCGCGCTATAGATCAGGTGATTTTGTTTTATAAAATCCAATGGCTCTGATTTCGTAGATCATTTATACAATTGCACATTAAAACTTTTAGTCTAAAAAAAAAAAAAGAAAAAAGAAACTTACTGAACAAAAGTATACTTGGATTTAAGATTACCGTCCAGGATAAGACAGATGTGTGTATGCTAGTCATTAAAATGTGAAGCTTCATTTAAACCATTTTAAAAAATGTTATCCTTCATTTAATACGCAGGTCCTAAGTGAAGTAAATGTCTGGGTCAATGGTGGACATGTCAATCATACAACCTATGCCGAGATGAACAAAAGGATTCAACGCGTTATACATTTGTTTATGGAAAAATCTGCAGAAATTTTAGGTATTTTGTGATAACAATGACTATCCCATTTTAAGAGTTAAATATTTGTGACAATTTGCCACTATTTGCAACTGCTTTTAGGTAACAGTTTATATGCGGCAGTATGGAACAGATAGGAATAAGAGAATCCACTCTCATAGTCATAGTGTGACTGCTATGGGTAACCCCAAGCACGGACACATCCATGGTCCACTCTCATAGTTATAGTGTGACTGCTATGGGTAACCCCAAGCACGGACACATCCATGGTCCACTCTCATAGTCATAGTGTGACTGCTATGGGTAACCCCAAGCACGGACACATCCATGGTCCACTCTCATAGTCATAGTGTGACTGCTATGGGTAACCCCAAGCACGGACACATCCATGGTCCACTCTCATAGTCATAGTGTGACTGCTATGGGTAACCCCAAGCACGGACACATCCATGGTCATTTAAAGTAACACTCAGCCGTGTACTGGCCTTAAATTTTATGTTGGTTATTTACACGCGGGAATAACCATCCCTGCTACGGGGTTGACCCATGGTCAGCTCGGACGCGGGTTCCCTGTGATTGTGTGTGTGTGTGGGAGGGGGGCGAACTTGTACTTGAGGTGTGGACATCTTTGAGATTGTGGTGTGGAACGGATGCGTCGGGTCGGTGGCAGGTGTGAGAGATTTTCCTGTCGGCTCTGTCAACGGATTGTACCTTACATTAAAAAGCTATAGTTCTCAGACCAGATTGTTTTTTGTGATTTTATTTAAACTGTAAGCTACCTCACCACTCGGCTACATATAGAATAATAAGCTAATTTACATTATGCAAACATCCATGATTTGCATTGGTAATTTTTACAAAATTCATAATAATAATAAAGTATGTAATATTTTTGTTCTAAGCAAAAATGGTATTGGTATAAAACAGAGTATTCTTATTAACAATTTCTGAAATATTTCTGGTCCTCTTAGTCCTTTTTAAAAACCGCTATAACAAGATTTTGATTAGGTTCCACATAACTTTTATTATTCAATATGTTGTAAAAATTTATTTATTTGCTATTTTAAGATCCAGCTTTTGAAGAAAATGAACATGTTTCAAGGAAAGTGACTTCGCAAGCTAGCAATAATTCGACAATTCCTAACATGAGTTGCACAAGGGGAGACGTCAAAGAGAATATAATCATTAGCAAAGAAGAAAAAGTACACGAATCAGGTAGCAGCTTCTTTGGAATATATCTTTCCTCAAATTTGTTTCGTGCGTTATCATTTATAAGTAGTTATTGTTTTGATATTTCAAGCAATAAATTGTTAAAACTCTGACATACATTATATAATATTGAAGAAAAAAAACAATGTCACCAAAAGAATAATATCGTTGTTTTTAGGAGATTATTAACAAGTTACACAATGTAATAAACCCAAAGTAGAAACGGTAAGTATAAGATAGTTAGTGAGAACGATGTCTACCTCCTTACCTTTAACTAATATATATATTATTTACATACAGGTGTAGATAACAATAATACTGCTTTGAAATTGGCCATTCTAGAGATAGCTGTGTACTCACTGAAAAAAACAAATAAACAAATTCAAGAACAACAGGACAATGTCAAAAACAATTTGGAATTATTGAACAACGCAAATTTAAACTCTGAGAAAAAATTTCAAGAAAGCATTGCATTACTTGAGAAAAAGGGCCAAGAAATGTCCTCAAGAGTTGACCATTTGTTTGAAACTGCAACAGATTTTGGTGGCAAGTTAACCAGATTAGAAGAGGACAATGAGTCTGCCAAGGCCTCACGGAATGAACTCAATCAACAAATCAGAGCTGTGAGAACTTTTAGCAGTGAATCCTTCATTTCCATACAAGATTTGTCAAAGAGCGTCGAGAGTACAACTCAACGCAACAGTGAAATGTCTAATAAAATGGTTCAACTGGAGAGCTCCATTAATCTCATGTCATCTCAGTACACTGAGCGGTTTGAAGCCATGTGTAATTTCAACAAAGATAAAACAGACGCATTCGTAAGCAATGTTAGAATTATGTCATGTCTTTTTTGGAGTGTAACTTGAAATTCTTTTCAGAGAATGATTTAACAAAAACAGCTTTTAACAATTTAAAACATGACAACACACACATTTTTTGGTTGTTTTTATTCAGCTCCCTTAAACCATACATTTCTCAATTGATGTAATCTGTGTTAAAATCCTTAGTTTTAAATACAAATGTCGATGTTTTTCATGTAAAAGACGGAAAGACTTATGTCCACATTTAAGTATTTTTAATTATAAAGTTTAAATGATATTTTAAGTTAAAATTATTTACTCTAATTATATTGTTTTTGTTTTTTTCAAAAAATAGTTTCTACCCCGTACAGAGGGGTATAACTAGTAAAATCGGCAAAAACTATTTGTAACCCCCAAAATTTGTTTACATAATGATAAAAATATATTATCATTAAAGCAATGAACAAATAAAATGTTACGGAATGCAAGTTGTTTTAAGAATACTAAATATACTTAATTTTTGCTTTGTGGCAATTTTCAAATCAGACATAGGAACAAGAAAAAAGTGATTCAGTCCAACATAGTCGAAAATGTTTTTATTTTAATGTCTGTAATGGAAAATGTTTACATTCCTGGCAATATGATATCACTTGAAAGTCCTTTAAATTATTTTGATAGTAACGGTACATTCTCCACTGGATTATTACGCATACTCTGTAAAATTTGTGTTTATTTTTCAAATTAATGAAAATAATTTTAATGCAGAAATTTACTCGTAGTTTTCTTTACATCAGAAAAATTCTCTTTTTAAAAGGAGATCTATAAGAAAGTAAACATATTTAATTGTGATTAATTTGACTAGTGAATGATCATTAAAAACAATTTTTTTTTATACTTCATAATTGTTATGCTTTGTCAAATGCTAGATAAAAGTCGAACTCCATTTTGGATATTAAACTAGACTTTAAAAGTGTAAGTGTCTAAAGAAGCAAACAACTTTAAATATACCTCGTTTTAAAAAAAAAATATTATAAGATGAGTTATTTTGACAATTACTGTTATATTTTGTATGTCGTAAATTTTTACAAAGTTGTATTTTTATTAATATTTTTATACCCATTTACAGGAAAATTCTATTGAGAATAGAGTAGCTAAACTAACAAACAAAGTTGCAAAATTAGGTAAGATATCAAGAAATACATACTTTTGACGATTTGATAAACATTTAGAGAAAACATGATGTTTAGAGTCGAGCAATGAACTAACTAACATAGTTGCAAAAGCGTGTAGGTTGGGGGGGGGGGGGGAATTTTTAAAAAAAATAAGTCATTTAGAATCGCGTATCCATAAAAGACAAATTTCGTTAAGTTCATATTTTCAAGATATTGTCCGTATTATTCTTCATAATCGATAATATAACTTTAGAGAAAAAAGTCTATTTAATTATTCCTATATTTGAAATTCTATTGAAACGTTATTACATAGTTTATGTACGCCAAATAAGCAGTGGTAATTAATTTCTCTGTTTGCTTAAAAAGATGTTTGTTTTTCTTTTCTGCTTATTAATAAAACTAAGTTAGATAAACAGAAAGAGAAAAGACAAAACAGAAGAAAATAAACCCTACAAAAATTATTCAAATATGTCTGAGTTTTTTCGTTGAGTTTATTAATTCAAATGATGATATAGTTACAATAACTGTGCGTTAAAAATAACTAAACATGTTCTTACGAAAGTAATCGAGGTGGTGTACGAGAGTCTGAGATCGAGCAGAGACAGGTGGGACAGTTTGAGTGGAGAGAGCTAGGATCTTAAAGGTGTGATGGATTGATCTAAATATTATCAAATTAAGTATCATGTCCATATCAGTTGATAATAGAATAATTATTAAAAATTATATGCCCTATTATTTTTGTACCCCGAGTATGAGACACATGAAATAGATCTTGTTGTTTTACTCTTGTTTAGCAGTTCTGTCTGAGAGACGATGATCAGTTTAACCAACCTAGCCCATATGGTGGCAGGTACACATGATTGCGTAGACAAGATTGCGGCTAGTGCAGATGAAATTCGTCAGTTTTCTGAATAAAAAATAAAAGAAAAAGCGTTCTTATTTACTGTATAATATATCGACCTTGGAAAAAATTACAAACATTGTATTTTAACATTAAAACCATATACGAAAGTAATCATAATTATAACAATTTCGACATGGCATTGTCTTTAGAATAACAATAGAGAGTCAAATTTTTAATTAATTATGACCAAGGATAGCTTTGTGTTTTTTTTCGTATAGCCGAACACTGCAACGGAGATGTATCTAAAGAGTTTGTGTTTAAAATATAGTATATTATTACCCAATAAACAAAGGAGCTTTTTGTATAGTGCATCTGGGACGGCTAATTTAAAAAAAAAAAAACGTTGCAAACTGATACTTTTGTGTGTGAAAAGAAGTCTCTTCCAAAGTTAGATGACTTTAGCTTTGAACTGGTAGGTTCTATTTTCTGATATATATTGTGTAACAATATGGGCTAATAGTGCCAAGATTTTACACGATATGTGCTACATTGTACTTAGTCCTTTCATTTCTCTGTTATACGTCTTGGCTCCACGCCATTCGCATGGCGTCCGCTTAAATTTAAGACGTTGCGAGTTCATAACGGTAGTTTCGGATACTTGGAGAATCAACGTTGTACTGTGGTCCCCTTCCCAATATTCTGGAAAAGGGGCTGGTCTTGTATTACTTTTAAAATTATTTTCAATTCTTTTTCTCTTTATCACAGATCGTCAATGCAGTCTCCCCAATGCGGGCTTTTATGCATGGACATCGTTAGAAGTCAAAGATGGATGGTGCGATGTTGAGTCCTTTGATTCCGTCCCAGCCAACTACGGAGATCATTTTAATTCACAGACCGGGAAGTTTTCCGCACCACTGAATGGCTTGTATTTAATAAGCATCAGGACGGGGAGCCTCGAAAAAAATGACTCGTTTGGTGCTGTATGTTATCAGAAGAGTAACAATCCGTTACCTCAAAGGGATGATGGCATCATTGAGCTTTGCGATGTTGTTGGGAACCAGACCATAGTACGGTGCACTGAACTGGCAGCAGGGGACACTGTATATTTGCAATCGACTAATTTTGACAAAAGCACCACAAAGTATATTTCGGTTTATTTTTCTATTGTTATGATTAAATGCTAAATGTTTTGCTATAAGTATCGGCTTCCACAAAGTATAAGAGTTTTATATAACATTAAAAGTGATGACAGTTTTAAAAATCTTTTTCGATATATTTTTCTTTTTTTGTAATTAAAAACTGAATGTTTTGCTAAAAGTATCGGGTTCTACAAAGTATAAGAGTTTTATATTATATTAAAAATGATGAAAGTTTTAAAAATCTTTTTGGCTTCTTAAAGTAGAAAGTTTTATTTTTTTTTTGTAACAGTAACAGTGATGATTTTCATTTTTTCATTATCAACTTCTTAAATTTTATAGAGTTTTTCTATATTATTAAAATGTATGAATGCATTGTTGACATTATCGGCTTCTAGAATTGTGTATTATGTAGCGTATTCAAAATGCATTATAAATTAAAATATAGTGTATTTTTAAAATTTACTTGATAGTTTCATCGCAGCCCAGCTCTCTTTATAAATTCTTAAACAATGTTGTAAATCTAATTGCTATGCTTCAAATTAGTAGAAATTGATGACACATTAAGTAATTATGAGGGTGTATTTTGTTGTTTAGATATTTACAGAATATCTACAGCTATAACTAAACATTTAGTCAAATAGAAAGTTAATTTCTGGAATTTACAATGATAAAGAGGATTTCCCGATTTTATTTGTGAAGTTTAAGTTTCTGAAAGCCGATCGTCAAATTGGTTGAGGTGATTTGTCACACAAGGTTGCTGTCGTATTTTTATTGACTGAATGTTGTATACAAATAAACTTTTAACGTTAATATGTGCTTCTACTTCCATGCTTTTTAATAAAGGGATGTTAAAATTAACGTATTCCTGATATATTGCATTATTGATAGTCGTCAATTCATTTATCCATCGTCGACCATAGTTCATAATTTAAGGTAAAAAAATCTTATCTTATATATAAAATGGTGAGTTTACTTTGAAAATAAAATAAAAGTCTAAGGAAAAAGAAAAAAAATTGACATCCTTATTTGAAGCCCGAAACCTAATGTTTTACTCAAGCCGTAGGTGTTTGAAACTTAATTCCAAAAAATCGAAATCACAATATTACGGCTAATAAATGAGGAGTTAATTGTGAATTACTTTTGTCTAAGGTGGGTTGGGAGAAGCATTCTGAATTTTAAAAAAGGCAATTCCTTTACTATGAACCAGACTTCCACGTTTAATCTAACGTCTGGGAATATAGACAAGATCACAAAGTGTTAAAATAATTTAAATGAATAAAAAAAAAACACACACATTTCATTCAACCAAATCTACATATAACTTTATAATACACATTATTTTAAAATCCGTATACATATTAACTTATAATATACACTATTTTCAACCCTTTCTGCACATAATAAACAAGTAATTAAATAGAAAATGAATTGAATTTAAATTGATTGCTTTAACTAAATGCTCACCAAATTTAACTATAATTCCAAATGTTAGGAGCTCGAACTCTCAAACTATGAGTTAACTCTGGGGGTGTTCATTTGAAGTGATGTGAATGGTTACATTATAATAACAGTATTGTAAGGAAAAAAATATATAATTAACAATATTGTTGGACAGTGATAATCCCCCTCTGCTTGACTTGACTAAGATTTAGTAAACATATGGGAAAATACCGACAGTTATAACATGTATCTAACTTTCTTTCTTGGGAGGGAAGGAACATGATTTAGTAAACATGTGGTAAGAGACCGACTGTGATAACATGTACCTCCTTTTCTTTTTTGGGAGGGGGGAATTTGATTTAGTAAACATGTGGTAAGAGACCTACAGTGATAACGTAACAAGCTGTTGTAAGGTTTTCTTATTAGAAGAGAAAGGCTTTCTAACTAGATTTTTGTCCAATTCAAAGGCTTGTTGGGCAGGACTCAAGCAAAAACAGGATATACTCCTACGCGAGAATGATTATGTGTTAAGGAATTTGGTTAACGACTTAAATGACTTTTATTGTCGTTTTGACAGCCTGGACTTTGGAAGAGTGCACAATGAGATGATGAATTCATTTCAGGATGGCACTAGTACACAGGGTGGTAGTTTATTGTTTACCAAACAGAGAGTGAAGTCATTATTTAAACAAGTGGACGCAGCCAAGGCCTCTGGATCAGACAAATTAAGTGGTCGGCTCATTAAACTATGTTCGGAGCAGCTCTCCTACATTTTTTGTTACATATTTAATAAATCTTATATAACTCACACAATACCAGCAATATGGAAAACTTCAGAAATCATACCAATTCCAAAGAAAATTAAGGTAAGGTGCAACAACGACTTACGACCTGTTGCACTTACCTCCATTGTCATGAAATGTTTTGAGAAAATAATTATGAAAGCAGTTTTGAATGAAGTACAGCAAAAACTTCACCTCCACCAATTTGCTTACAAACCTGCAAGAAGTACGGAGGACGCAATCTTACTATTGTTGGAGAGACTTTACCATCACCTAGACAGTCCTTAAACATACGCCAGAGTGCTTTTCTTAGGCTTCTCACCAGCATTTAACACTATCCAACCACACCTTATGATAAAGAAACTTTCCTCGTTAGGTGTCAATTAAAATATTCAGGCTTGGATACTGAACTTTTTAACAAATCGACCACAATATGTCAAAGTAAATAACCAAGTATCTCTAACCAGAGAAATAAGCACTGGGGCACCACAAGGCTGCGTTCTCTCTCCTGTACTGTATACAATATATACGAATGATATTCAAAGCTCAAGCAACACCGTTCCAATCTTAAAATTTGCTGATGATACCTCGATTGTTGGCTTAATGTCTGAAGGAGAAGGCCTATACCACAATTTAGTTACAAGCTTTATCAATTGGTGCGATGAAAACTTTCTCCAGTTGAATGTCTCAAAAACAAAGGAAATGGTTGTAGATTTCACGAGGGGGAAACACCAGATTACAGATCTCAACATAAAAAATCAAAATGTGGAGAAAGTGGAGGCGTACAAGTACTTAGGTGTCACCATTAATAATAAGCTAACATGGCATGAGCATTGACAAAGCCTGTGTAAGAAATTAAACCAAAGACTATTCTATCTCAAAAAACTGTACAATTTTGGCGTAAACAAACAAGTCGTTAACTTATTCTACAATGCAACTATTGGAAGCCTGCTTAATTTCAGTATTACCTGCTGGTGTGGGAATTCAACGTCTGATATTAATCACCGCATAAACCGACTAATCAAGAAAGAACATAACATAAATTTAACATCCTTCACTTGAAGAACTATTTGAAGAAAGATGTTTTGCAAAAAACTAAACACATTTTGGATGAAACATCCCACCCTCTTCATCACAGATACTTAGGATCGGGTCGTTCGGGACGATTTCTTTCCATCAGGGCGAGGACTGAACGATATAAAAATTATTTTGTTCCCCAATGTGTACGAATTTACCGGCGTGCTTCCTCTGAAGTCACACATCTGAATGAGAACTAATAAGTCCCCGATTTTGCTAAGAGAACTCACTGAATGGCTGTTTGAAATAATTTATTATACATGTCTTGTGTTCAAATTGTTTTATTTTTGTGCTTAAAATGTATAATGCAATCAAAAAATATTTCCATTTACTTGGATTAATAAAAGAATCATATCTTATCTTATCTTATCTAAGAACAAAAGCATTGTTCCATTTGAAAATTGGTAGTTTTTTTGTTAAAAATACCCAGGGACGTAACACTATAGTTGGCGTAGGTTTCGAGAAATTTAACAACATCAAACTGATATGTCTGATTTTGTGAGCTTTTATTTGTGTTTTTCTTTTTTTAGATGTGTATTGACCAAATGATTCGTTTAATTATATGTGCATAGGCGAGCTGCTTTGCCCTAATCATTTTATTTCAATTGAAATTTTTATGCAAGAATTTTTAAAGTGATGTGAAAATGGCCAGCAAGACACAACATGTTCAAAAATTTATAAACTTTATCAACCAACAATTCGAGATACTTAAGGCACAGAGGGAGTCCATACTAGAGAATGTAGATGAATCTATCAAAAAGGTATGTGGTTTTATTGATTTAAGCATTTTGATAATAACTGTTCAAAGCTGAGAAATTATTTTGTTTCCATGAAACGTGTATCCCAGTGGTTCTCAACCTGTGGGTCGCGACCCCTTTTTAGCGTTGAACGATCCATTCCCAGGGGTCATCTAAGACCATCTGAAAACACATATGTTTTAACGTTATGAAGTGGCTACTAAAATAATTCTGTGGCTGGGTTTCGCCACCACATGAGGAACTGTATGGAACGTGTCGGGGCTTTGGGAGGGTTGCGAACCACTGGTGTATGCCAATGTATTGACTAGATTTGTGCCCGAATTAAGTTTACCAACATTATTTCCATACCGGTAGAAAGATTTCGAAAAAATCGAAATTCAAAATAAAAGTTTTCCCGGTACCCTCGATAATATTTTGTTAATTTTATGTATTATTAAAATACTATCAGCATATTTTTCGTTCAGATCACGGGATGTCGTTCTGCGTCTAAATTTGTCAGTGAGTGATATTGCTTTTTCCTTCAGTTACTTCCCCGTACATCCCACCAATTTTACTCAGCCAATAATGACGTATGAGCTATGACGTAGTACCGTAGCGGTGTGTTTGGAAAAATAAAACGCGGTAAAAAGAGTGTGCAACTCTTGTGAGGAAAAAGAGGCCATTTTTTAACACGAGTGATTTCTATTATTGTTGAGTTGAGTTCCTCTTCGTATGGTGAACAAGATTATCCTTTTCTTTTTCTTTAAAGGCAAATTATTACCGGTTTGTCATTATTGTAGGCAGTATAATCTTTACATAATTAAAGAATACTGATTATTCAAACCATCTCTCGTTTTTTTTTGTTTTTTTTTTTTAATGAAACCGGTTAATGCACACATCAACCTTCTAGGGGCTAGGAGAAGGCAAAGGAGAAAGAGTTCTAGACTCTGAAATTTTTTATATGGCCGTGCGGCTCGGACCTACTCTCAGACGACTATCCTCCACAGGAAAAATACATACAACATGCATTGGGCACTTTAATAGTATGTTAATAAAACATCAGTAAATTTGAGTTCATTCAGTACAAGATACCTAGTGAAAAAGACGTACCTGTCAAAAAAAATATTTTTTTAAAATTATTTCTCGCTATGCTCACACTTCTCATTTTTATTATTAATATTCGCCCTTTGTATATTCAACTTGAGTAGTTGCTTGACTTGAATTGAATAGTTGCCTTGACTTGAGCAGCTGCCTTGACGTGAGCAGCTGCCTTGACGTGAGTAGTTACCTTGACTTGAGTAGTTGCCTTGACTTGAGCAGCTGCCTTGACGTGAGTAGTTGCCTTGACTTGAGTAGTTGCCCTGAGCTGTATTTTGTTTGCAGTGATCAATTCGTCAGCCTCACTCTCTCGTCCTAGCCTATTTGATCCAACGGCAAGAACTACACGCCTTGAAATAGACCAGAACGCAGTAGATGACCATTAGTATTTTTGTTTGTGTGTCTCATGACGCTCTTTAGGCGTTCTACGTCACGGGGTCTTGTAGAAATTGTGATTATGTCACTATCATGCCGCATACGGGACACATTCTCCGGGCTTGGTTTTGGAGATTCCTTCTCTCAGATGAGTTGCCATCCAAGGTTAACGCGTTCCACCCACCAATGTGCTGGTGTTGTATTTTGCTTGTTTAGACTTTTGCCAGGGATTGAACTCAGTTTATACCTCTCGGCCACCTAGCATCCCTTTTAAATTACAAAACAAACAAACAACACAATTAGAGCCCACAGCTCATTTCTGGGTTTTGCCAATTTCTCTGTTTGTCTCTGCATACCAATTATTTACAATTTCAATGAATTATAGTATAATTTACTTATTTTTGAAGATCAAATCAGTATTTATAAGAAATATATGGAGATATTTTTTAGAAGTGTTGCATATGTAAAACATTAATAGCAAGTAAATTTGAATGTCTTCGTGAATTTCGTGTCCAGGTACATAGTGAGGTAGATGCCTGGGTCAGTGCAGGACTTGTCAATCAAACAACATGTGTCCGGTTGAACAACAGAATTCAACAAGTTATAGCTTTGTTTATGGCTAAGTCTATTGAACTTTCAGGTATATTAAAAAAACTTCCATCTTTGTTGGCAAATATACTCATGAATTTCTAGGAAAAAATTTAAACAGTTTAAAAATCTCCATTTTTCAGTGAACTTTCTTTATTTTATTTATAAAAAATTGTAACATTTATTCAAATTAAAAAAAGAAAATTAAAAATTAAGTTCATATGAATGAAATAATTTTTAAATGAAATATTTCTTGTTCTAATAATCTTTAAAAAAATATTATAACAAGGTGTTGATTCAATTCAACATAATGTTTATTTCTGCAAAATTTCATTTTTCAATAAATGTTATTATTTTTTATATTATTATTTCTATGATTTCTTAAGATCTAGAGATTAACGAAAATGAAAGCGATCACAACCAAACGTCTTCGGCACATGGAAATGATTCTACATTTCCCAAAACCAGTTACACAAGGGGAAAAGTCCAAGAGAGAACGATCCTGAGTAACGAGGAAACAGGACAAACATCGAGTAAAACATTTTAATGAGAACTATTTCGTTTCTCATATTATTATTATTTTTTGTTTTGCATACTAATTTATTTAATGATCTGATAGTTTCAGCAATGAAACTCTAATTCATTTGACAAGATGCAGAGCAATAATGTGTTGGAAAGGAAATCGTTTTTCTTTGTTTGGGATAATTTTTTTTTCTTTTTTTTTTGTGTGTAAACGGCTCATTAATTTATAATAATATAAGTCGTTAACGAGGGAGTTCATTTACATCCAAATCTTTAGTAATTATGTTTGAAACATCATTCAATATATTTCAATATCTATTTCGAAACAGGTAATGATACTCCTTATATTACCCCTACAAAATTTGCAATACTAGAGGAAGCTGTATTCTCACTTAAAAGGACAACAGAACAAATTCAAGAAAAACAAGAAAATTTTGACAAAAAACTGGAAGTATTAACGAACGAAAATTCAAAATCTGATGAAAATATTCAAGGAAGACTTACAGTACTTGAGAAAAAAAGCCAATGCATTACCTCAAATGGTGATATTTTGTTTAAAAATATAACAAATGTTGATGACAAGTTAAACAGATTAGAAGATAAAAATAAGTCTGTCAATATCTCAATGAATGAACTCAATAAACAGATCAGCTCTGCTAGAACTTGTAGCAATGACGCCCTTATGTCTATACAAGATTTGTCAAAGAGCGTCGAGAGTACAAATCAACATTATAATGAAATGTCTAGTAAAATGAATCAACTGGAAATCTCCATGGATCTCATGTCATCTCAGTGCACAGAGAAGATTGAAACTATGAGCACTATCAATAAGGAAAAAGTTGACGAAACGGTAAACTATTTGTTAATATTTATTACGTGTTTAGTGTAAATTTTGAACTTCTTTTAAACAAAAAACAAAAAAAGAGTGTGTGTGTTGGCTAAGGAAGCTATAAATTATGGCGATGAGATTTAATGGAAAAACTTTAATATATATAATATCTTTAAAAAATTGATAACTTGATTTCCTAAACTAATTATTTTTCAACTTATGTGAAATTTTTCTAATTTAGTAAAATCATTTTAATATACAGTAATATACTTGACAAATGTAAAGAAAAGAAAAACTTAACACCAATTATATTTATGTTTTATTTTGAAATTTTAATAACATTATAATGAAAAACCTCACTTATTCTGGCCTTATATATTCGTTTTTTTTTTCTAGGACACTTTCTAATCGTTTTGATGAATGTCAATAATGAAATCGGAGAAAAAAAAACTTTTAAAGATATGCAGTTAATATAAACCCATTCGTAAATATGGGATATAAAGAACGACAATGATTAAAACTTTTAAAATAGTATATGAAGTTTATTGCTATACATAATTTTTTTTGAAGTACGCTTAGGTTTCAAAAAATGTAATATTAAACTCAGATTCATTTTAAAAATATATATAATAATTATAACACGATACCATCGTTACGAATACTCACGAAAACTTTAACCATTTATTTAAACAGAAGAAACTGTTTTAATTTTTTTTTTTAAATATTGTGTTGCGTCAGTAAACTCCAAAGAGTTAAGTTAATAGTATTTACAAACGAAAAACTAATACATTTATTTGGGGGGGGGGGGGTTAAACTTATCATGTAATTAGTTTTTTTTATTACAATTTCTGGCTACTTTTGTAGATTGGTTTGGCTTGTCATATGTTAGCCAAGAGACTAGCACCATTGGACAAATTAAATGAGATTTTAAACAAGAAATCCGAATCTAGAAAGAGACTTTCACAGGTATTTTTATATGTTATAATTGTTTGTTTGTTTTTTCTTCATTTTAACTTTAATTTGTTTTTTCTGTTATTAATATTTTTTTTTCGTAATAAGTCAACGGGAACAAAGTTTTCCTTTAAACAAGAAAATATGTTCTTTAATAAGTAAACCGGAACAAAGCCATCTTTGATCTTTACTTTTTATCCTCATTTTCTAAATCATTTATAGGAAGACACTGCTGAGAATCAAATAGCACAGCTAAATGAAAAAATTTCACATCTTGGTAAGATAATGAAATAAATGTTGACACTTTTCCCTAATCCCCACGCCAATTAAAGTACAAATTAACCTAGTTCAATTACATACAATGATGTAATTTTGAAAGGCTAGTTAAAAAACATACTTGTACCATACAAAAGTAATCGGAACGGAATCGTGTGAAAGCAATGGTTTATGAACATTTTTATATTTTATTTTGTTAAATGTGGAGTAAATATCATAGGTTAAGTGCTGGGTGAGTGAGCTGCTTGAATTGAGCTAATCCAAAGCTTGTAGACTGGAGACAAGCAATGACAACACCAACATCCCGGGTGGATGGGACCCGCTAAACTTGGATGGCAACTCTCATAAGAGAAAGCACACTCTCAAATGAAGCCCAAAGATGGGTAGCCGGTCAGTTTGATTAACGCAATGGCAATGGAAACAACTACCGGAAGCACACAAAAAAGTGCAAGACACTTTGCTGATGATTTACTGCATCCTGGTCTATTTTCAGTAGTCTTGTCATTGGAGAAAGTGCGGCTGACCAATTGAGGATCTCTCCCTAACTTTAAATAAAATACAAAGATGCCTTGGTCACCCTCGCATGCGAAGTAGGATTAATAAATTTATAGTCGAAACTGTGCAATATAAACTTGATTTTACCTATTACCAAGTTGTGTTTTCAAAAAGGCAGATAAGCCTCTTATATTTTCATTTCTCAAAACCTTTTCAAACTGTTCATTGATCAGTAAATACAAAATATAAAAAAAAAGATTTTTTATAGAAAGTCCGTAACGGGTTTATTAACTTGAAATAAATTAGGAATAAATAAAGGAATACGAAATCTGTACTCAAACAGATCCTGTCATAAATTAACAGTAATATCTTTTAGTGTGTGATTTGTTCCTCATTTCCTTTTCATACGATAAATCATAACATATGTGATAAAAATACAGGTCAACTTTACATGTGTGACTTTAATACGATTAGCCCTATAAGAATATTTTAATTAGGAGTAGCCTGCGACGAGGTTGAAGCTAAAGGCTATACGAAACACAGGGTAGTGAATAAATCTGAAAAAAAGACGAAAGAAAACCAATAAAAGTGTTCGAAATAAGCCTTTGTCAACGGAGAGAATAAAATAATTAGAGAATGAAAAGGTCTTGAATAACAGAAATTTATGAGAATACGACAATGGCGTGAGAGTCATTTGGATTCATTCATTACAAAGTAGACGCACCACTCACGATTTTAAGAATATTAAATGAAGGACTACGTTCAAGCAGTGTGAAGGAAATAGTAGGACAAGGCACGTGTGAGCTTCCATCGAAAGACAGGGACAATACGATAATAACGTTTCGGCTAAGAGCCTACAGGACAAAGGAAAATACGTAAAGACATAGAATTAAGTTAAAAGGTTAAGTTATCGCCATTGTTATTGTTGGAAGTTGAGTTTTTTTTTCCAAAAGCTCGATTACTGGTAGTGAAAGAATATATCCTATAGAATGCGCAGGGAAATGAAAAAAGAACTGTCTCTATTACCACTAGACCACAAGACAGGTGTGTCCTAAATTCGGACACGTTTTCCTACCATAACGGACCTAACAAGACACCTGGGTACTCAACGTGGAATATTAATCGTTGGTATTCAATGTTACACAAACATGGCTACCTACATCGTCTGAATTACAGAAACGCTATTTTGGGTCAGGAAGAAATGTGATGACGTCACAAAGAGAAAAAAAATTAAACATACATAATTAGTACTTAATTCTTTGTAAAATTTGAAAAACAACATAGAAACAACTAATTCTCTGTTTTATTGGAAATAATTAAATGCCTAAATTTGAAAATTGTACAATTTTTTTTGGAGTTTGTGTAGTTACCACCTGTAATTACTGATAACATTTTTAAAAGTAGATTTTTCTTTGTGTTGTGCAGAGAGTTTTTTAAAAATATTCTTAATTATTGTGTTCCTCTACTTCACAGAGCTCAAATGTAGTCTTCCGAATTTTGGATTTTATGCGTCTACAACCATATCCGTCTTAAGTAATTGGTTGTTAGACGTTAGCAAGTTTGATTATGTTGGAGCCAACTACGGAGATCACTTTGATCCAGTGACCGGAAAATTTACAGCTCCACTGAATGGTTTGTATTTGATAAGCATGAGTGCATTACCTGGTAGCATAAATGGAACATATTATACTTATTGCTATCTTCGGAGAAACAATATTTTAATTCCAGAAGCAGAGGCCATTATGGTTTTTCATGGAACTGGGAACCAGTCAGTAACACGGTGTTCTGAAATGTCAGCAGGGGACGTCATATGTTTGCAATCGGGTCATTTGGAAAAAGATATTGAAAATAAAATAGTATTTTATTTTTCATGTTTTATGATTAAAGTGGGAACGTCTCAAACTCACGGCCCGCTGCCCATTTTCAGACCGCAAGACGATTTGCCCGCTACATGTCGGCAAAGTTGAATGTTAATGAGGCCCGTGCATTTTCTCCATTATAATATTTATAACGTGACCTTCCGCGACGGTTTCAGTCAAATCTCTCCTGGTAGTTGTAACGCACCATATATATATGTGTGTGGATTATGATGACGTTACTTACAATAATTGATGTGTATTAACTTATCCTCGAGCACAGTCGTCCATGAATAGTCAATAGTAAAACACGACTTATAACTTTTGCATCATTATATATTTATTATTTGAATACGGCACATCAAATGAAATAATATCACTAAAGATCACAATAAATATAGGTATCACATTTATAACTTCTTCGGCACACTTCACAAATCAATATTAAGATATTGATCAATAATTAGAATTAACATGGCCAGCGCCAAAATATATGAATCCTGCAAACCGCCTTGACTGTTGCTCTTTTTTTTATATCCCACAATTCCTAACTTCCTGTTATTTCTATTTTACAAAACAATACATTATTTTACGAAACAAGATTGATATATGAGTGTAAGATCTGTGACATATGCCCCACCCCTAATGTAAAAATTTTGTGCAACAACATTTTTTTAGCACAGAAATTAAATATCTGAAAAGTAAAATGTGCAAAATTCTTTAACTTGATTACGAACTTTTCATACTCAATACTTCATTAACATTTTAAAAAAAATATGTACAAGTTCATCATCAAATAAATTTATTCCATATGTACAATTTGTATCTTGATCAAATATTAATATATCTATTGGATTTTAAATTAAATTTATTTATCAAGTAGATATCATCACAATGTCTCTTGTTGAGTCTATCTAAGGTGTGGCAGGAATACACATTTGCTCAGTGATTATTCAATAATCATAATATTGTGCCTATGGATGTATTCAGTTCTGGCTGTGTTTGTCACCTTCAGTATTGTCAGTTTGTCTGGATAAAAAATCTGCTATTGTGTTATCCTTGCCTTTTATAGATTTTATGTCAAATTGATAGTCAGCTAAAATCAGTGACCATCTGTTTATTGTGCTGTATGCAATGTTCTTTTAGTTTAAAGGTATTAATGATTTATTGTCAGTTAATAAAATAAAATAAAATAAATTTTCTTCCTAAGAGATATTTCTGCAGTTTAGTTAAAGACCAAACTATTGCTAAACATTCTTTTTCCATTGTGGAGTAAGTTATTTCATATTTGTTTAGTGCTCTGCTCAAGTATAAGATTGGTTTTAGTGTTTCATTTGCTTCTTGTGCTAAACATGCTCCTATTCCCGTGTTAGAAGCGTCTGTCATTAAAATGAATGTCTTTGTAAAGTCAGGCGAAATCAATATCTTTTTGCTTTGGAACATTTCTTTAATGATATTTAATGCTCTCTCACACTCCTGTGACCAGATTATTTGATTAAGTTTGGATTTATTTAACTATTGTCTAATTGGAGCCATAATATCTGAAAATTTTGCAATGAAATTACTGTAGAAATTACAAAAATTAAGTCCTAAAATACTTTTCACTTCTTTTTTATTTTTTTTGGAGTTCTAATATTTAGTAATATTTCTTTATTTATATCCGTAGGTTTAATTTGAAATAGGACAAGGTCTCATTTTATAACCTGAACACTGATTACTTTGATTAGCACATATATTTCTTTTTTTTCCACTGTCTAACTTATTGGTTTTTGTTTATACTATGTGTGTGACCTTTTAAAATAGTATATTTATATTCTATTTGTTCTTTACTAAACTGAGTGGGATACTTATGTGAAATGCCTGGATAATTTCCTATAATTAGTGGAGAGCTTTGGTTGTCCACTACTGTGGCTGTTACTGTTGCTTTTATCCAAGGACATTCTATGTTAACTTTGGCCTTTTTGCATTCAGTTTTAACATTGTTAGCTAGGGTTACGTTTTTTTTCCTCATTAATGTAATTACATGGCTTCATATATTTAGAGTCGACCACAATTGTTGTGCAGCCTGTGTCTCTGAGACATTGTACAAGGTTGTTATCTATATAAGCTGGAACCTATTCTAGTTTTCTTTTAGTATGACATGCTGCTGCTATAGTTTCTCCCGGTCTATTTGTATTTTGTCTTGTGTAATTATTCTGTTGTCTAGTTTGATATCTATTGTTGTTTCTTTTTCTGTCTCTGCTTCTGAATTGATTGTACGGTTCTCTGTAGTTGCTCCTATTTGGAATGCTGTTTGGTGAGGTTCTATGTGTTCGAAAATTATTTCTGTTGCAGTTCATTTCCCTTAGTAATTTTCTACATTCTGATTTCCTGTGTCCCAACTTGCCACAATAGAAATATGCATTGTGGGATGCATAATTGGTGAATTGTTTCTATGAGAATTAGCAGGTAGGCTATTAAAACTATTAATTTGATTCTTCCAAGATTGTGCACACTGTTTGGTTTCTGTGGCTACTGTAGCTATCGTTCTTCTATCAAGTACTTCATTTGGGTGTGCATCTTTAAATGTGAATATGGCATCTGTCAGGTCTTTTTCAGTTTTAATTTTCTTTTCTTTTAAAAATGTAAATAACGGTTCAGATGAATGTCTCAGAAACTTGTCCACCAGAAACATGTCCAGTAGTGCTTTGGGGTTGGTGATATCTATTTCAGCTAGTTACAACCATTTCATTAAATTGTCTTTTATATTAAAAAGTGTAGTATGGGGATCTGAAGTTGTATCTATCCTGATTGAATGAAATAATTTGCGATAATCATCCTCTGAATGACCAAAGTAATTAAGTAGAGCAGCATTGATACATTCATAATTTTTCTTATGTTCCTCTGATAAAGAGCTAATTATATTGAGGCATTTTCCCCTCAGTTTGCTTATTAGTATATCAGGCAATAAATTTTCAGTATATTTGTGGGTCTTAAAAATGCCTTGAAATTGAGTCAGGTAGCTTGTAATATCTTCCTATTCCGAAAAGTCTCTGAATTCGGTTTGTATGTGTTTGAGTGTTCCATAGTTATGTGTGTTTCATTTCCAGCCTGTAGTCTGGCAGTTTCTAGTTCTATCTCTAATCTTCTTAACTCTAAATTGGGCCTCTCTTTCTTCTCTTTTGTCAGTTGCTTCTCTTTATTCATTTTCTCCTTCCATTCTCTCAATTCTAAATGTGCCTCTCTTTCTTGTCTTTTATCGGCTGCTTCTCTTTCTTGTTCCTCTTTTAAGGCATTTCTAGCGGCTAATCTTTCTTCTCTGTCTCTATTTTCATTTTCCCTTTGTCTATCTAGCTCTTTAGTAATACATTCTGCACGCTTTTCTGGACAAATCCATAACGACTCTGCTACTTTTAGTAACTCAAGATATTCTGCCATATTTCTATGTTATGTTTTTGTTTCTCTTATACTTTTTAATAATTTATTTAGTTATTTTGATATACTGATATAAGAATATAATTGTTATCAACTTTGTTTAATATTATAATATTTTTACAATGATACAATCAATAATATGTTAAAATAATAAAAAGTATATACACACAGTGTCCGACAGTAAATCAATGTTATAACATGTATCAATGTTATAGTAATCAAGAGAAGTTATGTATTCTTAACAGTAATAATAAGCAAAAAAAATTAAAAATTGCTATTCAATGTTAATTAAATAATAAGTTTACAAACAAAACACCATTAATGAAAATATTTAGACTGTTATATTTATACAAACAAGACAAAACAAGTGATGCTTTCAATTAGACCACACATTGAAGAAAATTTTAAGACAGGAGAATACAACATATATAACAATGAAGATACTTACAATAATACAATGGGATTTATTAGATGTTAACAACGAATAAGACAATTTACAAACAGAACTCAGCACCTAACATTAATTATTTGACAAAAGTATAGATTGGGCTAAGGGTACAGATATGATATAAATGAAGCCCTCTAAAAGAGTGACACCCCAATTGATAACATTGGGAAAAAATCCTAAAATGACCAAAAAAATAATAACAGTATCAACAGAAAATATATAATAATAATATTTATCTTAATCCAAATAAGTTGTCTGACATTAGTTTATGCTTCTGCCTCCTTTCCACCCTTGATTACAGATAGTAATAGTATATAAATAACGCAGTACTCCATAAAAAAGATAGGTTTACGAAGTTATTATTGTGTAATAATATGATTAGCAAGTTTTTTCAAGCTCTTCAGTTACGTGAGTTATGTCTAATCTATAAAACTCAATTATTTTGATTGTTATTCAGTTTTTTTTTTGCATGATGAAAAAAAACAAGTTGTTGCAAAAGTGTTATGGTTAAATCATCTGAAGAAATTGAACAATACAGTTTATCATGATATGAATATGTACTTTCAACGAGCTGCTGACCTTATTATGGAAGTAGAATGTATAGATTCATTTAATGTTACTGAATAATCCATTTCTTCAGCTGATTCAGGACTAAACAAAGACAAGGCATCGTTTTGTTCTTTAATCATGCGGCTTCCATACTACATTACAATCAAATTAATTGAGTTTTCACACATTCATGGTCTGAAAATATGTAAAATGCAGAACCCCTTTTCCCAAAAGTTCAATACAAGGCGTTATCAATCTATTCTCGTAGACAACGAGGGTTGTCATTTTGTCATAATTAGTTATTTCCATTTTATAATGAACTTATACTAAATACTAGTTGTTATATATATTAAAAATGAAATTAAAAAAAAAATAATGCTTTAAATACAAACTAAAAGCCTAAGTGAATTTGTTCGATATCGACACGGACACATGGGAAGAATGGGTAATGAATAATGTGTCGTGGCGTTTCACTGTTTACAAAGGCTCCAAACAATGTGAAGCCAACACAACGGGGGCTGCAGAAAACAAAAAAATCACTTGTCAACACTGCACCTGGATGTGTCCCATCAATCCCTTGCACTGACTGCATAAGATAATTTGGTGCCGCAATCGACCTCATCACCGTTCTTTGTACCTAGGGCCAATATCACAATTTGTCCATTACAATGATTTAGGTGTTTACAATCGATTTTGACACACAAATCATATACAACATGATGCATGGCTTTAACTGCTAGGAGAAATGCTGTCTAAATACAGGTCATTTACTTGAGCAGAGATTAAGCAAAATAATTGACAAAATTGGCTTCCACGGTTATCCACATTATCAATCATTGTTATATCATAAAATCCAGATGTCATATTCCAGGAAGAGAATTCAACATTTCGTCTAGTTTATTGTATTAGAAAAGAAGAAGAAAAAAATCATAATTGGAATTAACTGGTGGATGCTGAAGTAGGACTCTGGCCAAGATCTTCCTTGCTTTGGTAAGGAGAGATATGCTTTGGTGACATGAAAACTTGACATGTAAAAAAAAAAAAAAGTCATTGAAAGACCTAAGTAAAAATTCATATTATAATTTAAACATTTTTAAGTAAACCTCTCGAAAATAGGTTAGATAACGATTACATTCAATACAACAGGTTGATTATAAAGGCAACGCAACAGTGGGCTAGCAATTACTGCACATGGTTAATAAACATTTTAACAGGGGTCTTTTAAAAAATAAATATTGATAATTTTAAAAAAATAAAATACTTATAATCTTCAGCTACTACTTATATTATTAAAATATTTTAACCATTGCGTTTGCTTTTAAAGCTGAATATCTTGTACATAGTGTATTAATATAATTTATGCTCATAACAACGTCTGTACAGTTATCTCTTTCTTTTCCCTGTAATACAACAGTTCCTTATAAATCATGGCTTTTGTTTCGCTTTTTATGGGAATAAAGCTCTCAACAACCAAATGTGTCCCCACCCAAATTTAAAAAAAAAAATCTACAAGTTTATTAACATCGTAACACAATACTTTGTAGTTGACACTCACCTGAAAATAACATGCAAAGGTGTCATCCGTCACGTTGTTGCGTACCTCGCTGTAGTAATATAAACTATCACCAGTTTCATTTTCTGGTTACAAAAATAAAAGATACAAATAAAAAATAATTGACTAGTTTCATTTGACTGACAGAAATAGTTTAAATTTTCTTCCCGGGTTTTCCCGAACTTACTTTTCGATGCAGGTAGATGATTCCCTGCCAGCTGTATTAAAGGGAGGCTGCATTTTTTAATTATTGTTTCTCAAATTTAAATAAATTTCTAGGCCCAACATTAACTACCTAAAATAAATACAGTATAAGCTAAAAATAACATTAATGACGCTTCCTCATCTTGAAGGCGCACTTGGATATGGTAAAGATGCAAATCTCCAGCAGTCACGAAATCCATGAAGTGTAACAGAAGATATGTTGGGCTCTTGTGGGAAATAGGTCACTCGACGACGGAGCAATGAGCATTCATGGTTGGGTAAATAATTTATCACTAATATGCCAGTGGTCGTTTTAAGGGGAGCGGGTTAAAAACAAATCTTCGAGATAGATTTGACTAGAACGCATCAAGGAGCACATGCTGTTGTTTGGAAAATTCTCTTATCTGCGAGTGTTAAGCGTTATCCGTAGAGGGGCAAGTCTGATTTGACTGGTAACTGCTTCAATAACAATTCAATGAAACTAAAGTTACTTTTAGTGGGGTAAAAAGGTGAGAACTGGCTTTATGCACATCGACATTTAAACAAGTTTTTATCGCAGGGTATCAACATAATACGCATTTTATTACCATTGGGAAAACTTGGAAATTTACAGGTTGGTCTTAACTTAAAGCTTTAAACCTGATAGAAACATAAATCGATATCAAGCAGGAAATAAGTTTGAAGCTCCTCTTCTGTTATTAAAGATACGAGACGATTCACTTGATTAATATTCAACTAATTTTTCCCTTGTCTAACCATGGTTAAAATCGAAAGCATGTTGGACTAAAATTATTATTATTATTTTTTTTTGAGTCTTGCGTTTGACTGCTCTGTTTTTTTTTTTTACATAAATCATTTACTAACCACCTGTGTCGAGTACGGATATTGGGGCTGTAAGTGTTGCGCTAGGTGTGTTATATCTTATGTTTCACGAAGTTGTCTTTAATGAGAGATTCATCGATTCACATCTCTTGTCTCTCCCCCCCCCCCCCCCCGTGATTTCGGTTTGCATTTATTTTAGCTGGCCTTTTTTTTTTTATTTGAAAGGTTGTGATTGGTTTCCTTTAGTGAGTTACGCTATACGTGTGTACTTATGATGTGACCGCATGATAGGAATCAAATGGATTAAATAATGTGTGAACGTTGTTTCTGTTATTTGAAAATTGCATTCAGTGTTACGGTGCGCACGACGGCGGGGTGAATAGTGATGAGAGAAACGAAAAATGGAGTTCAAATTCACGGTTGTCTTTATAGAAATGTACACATTGAATAAAAAAACAACAACAGATTCATATAATATAATTAACAAACCCTTGAATACAAAGTTTTTGGGTATACTTCTTTTATAAAATGGGATAATGTGCAAATCGTGCATATAAGTAACGCAATTTATAAGAATCCCAATTATTTCCCCACCCCCAGGGCTCCCAAAACGCCCCTGAAGTATAAGACAGTTATAATGACCCACACGTTTTTACAACGCAGATTTATGTCACCAACCATTTCAGAAAAGATAAAAAGAAAATATCACGCACCAAAAGCAACTTTAAGATTAAAAAAAAAAAAATGGCAAGCAATGAACAGGAGCCTGGCAGACCTTCTAACATACGTCATCGTGAGATCCTCATTAAAAAGTTGAACTCCGTCAAAGAGGAATTTGAAGAAATTATTACTCAGGTAATTCATTACGTTTTCTTTTTAAATTTGAATAATCTTCTAATATTAGAAGATAATTTTTACATGTGAATAATCTTCTAATATTAGAATATAATTTTTAAATTTCAATAATCTTCTAATATTAGAACATAATTTTTAAATTTGAATAATCTTCTAATATTAGAATATAATTTTTAAATTTGAATATACAATGTATATAAGATATTCTTTTTTATCATAGAATATGCGTTTTATATTAGAGAATACTTTTAAAATAAGAATTTACTTTAATATTAGAACATATATTTTGTTTTTATTAGAAAAATCTTTTTTAAACTAGAACATACTTTTTCAAAAAAAACGCCCTGTGCTAATTTCTTTAAGAACATAACAAAATTATTTGAGTAAAAATATCCAACTCTTAGCATAATGGCAGCAATATTTACTTTGTAGGTACAAAGTGAGTTAGATGCTTTGGACATTGGTGGAGCTGCCAGTGAACAAGAATGTGCTAACCAACTATGGACAATCGGGGAACGTATAGAATTTTTAAGAGAAAAGTCTAAGGAATGTTCAGGTACTTAGTGTGACATGGCACAAAATTTCTAAAAGACAAACTTATATGAGAAAGAAAGTTAATATTCTCATACAAAATGCATTTAGATAAGCAATTAAAAGCGTATTAACTGTTATTGACAAGATGAATATGTATATATATTTAATAGGCCCATATATATATAGATATATTTATATAGGCCTATATATAATATGAGAATGAAAAGTAAACACATACACATGTTTTCTCTTAGTCCGTTACGCTTACAAACACACACAATCATAATTAATTCTAGAACAAATTTTTAACCAAGCAGGTCAACAAATAGCAGCGCTGGATATGGATACACGAAAATGTTTTTCATCACTGAGCAGGGGAATAGCGGCTTGTGAACGCCGAATTGATGATCTGATTAAATGGCGCAACGAGAGCTATGAGGATTTGAACACTATTTGCATGTCCGTCAGCACAAAGTGTGACTCTTTGGTACGTAATAATATGATTGTTACTATTTATTTATAATTACTTATGGAATAATTGATAGTTTTGTTATATGTTAAAAATATTTTAAATTTCGTTTAATAGTAAATCACAATTATTATTATTTTTTATTTATGTTCCCATTATTGTAAAGTTTCAGACGTCATTGGTTTGGTCAGACGTTCATTTAAAAAAAAAAAAACACAAAAAAACCAACACAAAAACATTTACAATGTTTTCTTAAATTTTTTAAACTACTGTTAAAAGTACCACAGGAAAGAATTTAAAACCTTTTTGATTGCTTTTAATATTGCATTAGTTACTTTGCGAGTGAATTCTTGACCTGGTTCTTAAATAATTCTTAGTTCATGTATTAAATAATTTAGCGTGCATCTCTCACAAATCTCATAAAGACTGACAAAGCAATATTTCATTTTCAGAGTATTGTCTGTTCTAATCAAAAGTTGGTTCAGCGTGTTCATATAAAATTGATTCGTTACACACATCAGTTCTATTTTTAAAAAAAATATTTTAATAATAATTTGGAGTAAAGTTTATAACATAAAATGTAGCTATTTTATGCCAAAAAAAATATATTTACGTGGGACTCAGAGTAATAATCCTTTCAAAACGCATCACATTTCTTTAAGACTTCATGATGTTGTATCTCACAGGACAATCAAACATAAGGAGACCCAATTAAATTTTTTTTCAGGTTTTTTTTTTTTTTTTTTCAAAACACGAAATAAATTCGGGTAGATTATTCACTTTATATCATGGATTTTTATAAGATTATGGCAATTAATGCTTTTTTTATGATCTTTTGATCATTAAGAAGACAAACAAACATAAGGAGACCCAATTAAATTTTTTTTCAGGTTTTTTTTTTTTTTTTTCAAAACACGAAATAAATTCGGGTAGATTATTCACTTTATATCATGGATTTTTATAAGATTATGGCAATTAATGCTTTTTTTATGATCTGTGGATCATTAAGAAGACAAGCTGTAGGATGCTCCATGATAAGTTGTTTTTTTCTTAAAGCATTTACAAAATGTTTTATTTGACAGCCCTAGAATTACCAACATTTGTGATCGAATGACTCCATCTTGTTTTACCAAAGCTTAGTGTACATAACTTTCCTTCGACCAATGTGTGTACATCAAAAGTCAATCTGTTCTTATCAAAGTTCCGTGTTCACTTCTTCATTCCCAAAAAGACATGCAAGTCAACTATGTCCGTATTGCCATTTTATAAGCAAGTAGGATTTGTGGGGAGGGGCAGAAAATCAAGATAGTAATCAATCTTTTCAACCCCTAAAGAAGTGGCGTGAATTCTTTCTTTTATTATTTTTTGCTTCACCGTGGGGATTGACTGATTGAAAAAAAAAAAGAAAAAAAAAAGAAAACCCTATTCGTTGTCATTTGTTAAAAGGGAACATTTTAAACCTCGGTCAAACTGTCTAAGATAAGGCACCATGCACTTGAGTTATATTCTAAAACACAGAATGTGCTTCATTAAGTCTGTGATCTGATGTCAATACAAAGATTGTGTCTTCGGTTTAAAAAAAACCGCAGCATATCCTATAATCCCTTATGAAATGTACTGTTTAAAGTACGTTCTTTCCCCCAACCATTCTTTGACACCATCTTAAATACCAGATAAGATAAGATTCTTTTAGTGATACAAAAAAAAAAATGGAACTGTTTTTTGATTGCATTTTACATTGTACATTTTCAGCACATAAATAAAATAATTTGAATACGAGAAATTCACATTAATTATTTCTCTAGTGGAAAAAAAAAAAAGGCCATTTCGCGAATTCTCATAACAGGTACTTATTAGTTCTCATTGAGATTTGTGATTTGGGGGGGGGGGGGGCACGCTGGTAAATTCGTACAGATTGAGGAACAAAAGAAATTTGACATCTTCCAGTCCTTACCCTGAGAGAAAGAATTCGTCCAGATCGGGCCGATCCTAAGTATCCCCCCCCCCTCATGATTAGACATAATTACTACACAACAGATTCAACATGTCGACAACAGACCTAAAATTATAGGTACCAACAATACATTTTGTTTTCTGATGTGATGTGTTAATTTATTTGTATCAATCATTAACAGATGGCAACTATCAAAAATGATATAGGCAATATGGCACGAAAAATTGATCAAATGGGTATGTATGAATTTAAAATAAAAAAATGTTATGTAACTGTAATTTAAAAAAAAAAATATCACAAATCTTAAGATCAATTTAGTGCGATAAATAAAAACAATAAATGCATGTTTTTTTTTTTTAAAATAAATTTTTATTCTTTTTTTAAACGTTGTCTTTATTTAAAATTCTTTCCATTTTTCTTTTCTGTATTGATTGCAGAGTGAGTATGCTTTTAAGTCATTTACTGACCTGACTATAAAAATACATACCGATACTTTTAAATGTTCCGTCAACTATTTTTTTTATTGTAGTTTGTTTTGTCCTGCATATAAAAGCTTAGTAAATTATGTGAACAGTCTGAGTTATAATCAAATGATATGCAAAACATTATCCACGTGAATATGGGTGAATACAACTTTTTGTTTTCTTGATAAATGGATAACAATCATTAAAAAACATCAGCATTAATAGTTAAAAAATTTGCTAAACGAATCGAATTATAATAGCAATAAACTTTTCATGTAAAAATATTTCCTGCAATTCTCAAAATAATTCATTTGAATAATTTTTAAAAAAATGTAATTAAAAAAAATATATATATAATATGGGAATGGGCACGTTAAGATTTTTAAAACTAATTTTGTTGTGGATTACAGCAATAAAAATTTTATTATAATAATTTACTTCATCTAAAAAAAATTGTCAAAATATTAGGCGAAGATAGCCTATTTTACAATTCTCACTCTCTTTACTTATCCACCTTAGAAGTATCTATCTTGTTAATACAATGTCATCTTGTTTACAGAGAAAGAATGGGTTAAACCGAGCATAGGGTTCTTTGCCATGAAACATTGTCCCCTCCCAGCGGGAGATGTAACAGAGTTTAATGCTGAGGCCAACTACGGGCGTCACTTTGATCCGGCATCTGGCAGGTTCACAGCGCCACTCCACGGTCTCTATGTAATAAGCCTTATCACAAATTTTCCAAGCAATACATTTTATATAAGTTGCATACTCAAAGCAATAACTCCGTCGGCACTGAAATCCTCTTCACTGTGCAACGTCTATGCAAACCAATCTATTACTCGCTGTGTTGAGATGGACGCCGGTGATGAAATTTATTTGAAATCATCCATGAACGAGCAGACGCCTGAAATCTTTGTTCAGTTCTCTTGCTGCTTGCTGAGGCGCGGAAACATTTAATACACTGGAGGTGATTGCGGTGGGTTTGGGGGGGGGGGGGAGATAACAGTATACAATAGAAAAATATGGTGCTGGCCCAAAACTTAGTAAATCCCAACATTGTGGCCTTGGGTTACATCCCCAACAGAAGCAAAACCAGGAGGTGATTGCGGTGGGTTTGGGGGGGGGGGGGAGATAACAGTATACAATAGTAAAATATGGTGCTGGCCCAAAACTTAGTAAATCCCAACATTGTGGACTTGGGTTACATCCCCAACAGAAGCAAAATCAGCACCAGAACTCCCGGTGAATGGGACTCGTTAACCTTGGACAACAAATCGTCCAAGAGGAGACCAACTCTGAATTTAAATCCGGAGACGAGGTCCCGTAGACGTTATGACATAAACATTCTGACTACCCCTGGAACGTAGAACGCATAAAGAGCACAGTGAAACACAGACGACACAGTGCTGGCTGCCTACTTCATGTGGTCTACTTCCGGTAGTTTTGACTAAGGTTTACGATTGGATAAAAACGGCAGAGACGAGAGATTGAGGCTGACAAATTGAGCAATTATCTCTCACATTAAAAAAAAAAATACAGCTCAATTTAAAGGTCAACTGAAAAAATTGCCTTGGTCATCTTCGCGAACGAAGGACGAACAATACATAATTATGTATACTATGAATTGTTTTCATAAAAAAATTAAATTAGAGATTGTTCTTGATAAGAGATATAAATTAGGGTATCGTTTTATCTTTTGTCAATGAGTTAAAGAGAAATTCTTTAATCTTATAAGTAATATATTTTTAATATTTGTTGCGTAATAATTGGATTTTTTGTACCAATTCTTTTCTTTTTATTATTAAACTTTGTACATTCTGTCTTAAACATATATAAGGAATAGAAAACAGTAACAAATGTGGTATAAAATATTTTAAGGGTATGACATAAGGCTAGATATCATGTAATAATTTGATTTGATTTTGTTTGGAATACATTACCGTTCAATATTTAATGGGTGTTAATTTTTGCAAACAATATAGATTTCTGGCTTTATATATGTATGACATATACCAAAAATATACTTGCACTTATATTTGATTTTTATTTAATAATTTATTTACCTTGGCAAACGCAATCAGAATCAAATTATTGCAATCAGCAGCGAATTTTCCTTAATGAACGATATCTACAGTTTAAAATCAAATAAGGAGTAGGAGATTTAGAATTTAACCAAAAAAATGTGCACGCCTTCAAGGCCTTTAGATATAAGCAATCAGTATTCAGCGCACATAGCTCTCTATTACACAAAAAAAATAAAGAATCATCGCGATGACATGCAGCATCTGACTTAGTATATATATATATATATATATATATATATNNTATATATATATATATATATATACACACATATATATAAAAGCACGCTTTAATTAAAATACAATAAAATGTTTAAAAAACATGGAAGTAATTCTAATATTTAAAAAAATAAATATACACAGCATTATAGAGAGACTGTTGCTGATCTATTTTTAAAATCCCCACAGAATGGCATGCATAACATGATTTCTATGTTTTGGAAGTTAAAATTTAGAATCTTCGTTTTTTTCCATTAATTACGCTCCAAACTGATTAAAAAGAAAAATCACACAATGGCGAAACAGTGGTTTTATGATATTCTTGTATTGAACCTTAAATTTTATTAATTTTTTAAGCTTTTCTTCCTTGATTGGCTCCCGCGATTATATTTTTGAGACATGCTTAATTGCAAGAAAAACCTGATGCGTGTCCATGAATTTTTTTTTAAAGTGAATTCTATTAAAAGCGTGTTTTAAAAAAAAAAAAAAAAAAAAAAAAAAAAAAAGAATGTGTTATTTATTTTATTTTATCGTCATTTATGTTCTGCTTACATTGCATTGCTGTTGGCTTAATGTAGACATTCTCAGATCAAATAGAGATAAGAAAGTGTGCCGAATTTCAGCTTACAAACTGATTATATAGGGTGCTTTATCATGGAGATTAAACGAAAACGCAAAATGTCAAGTCCATCGGACGAAGGGAAGACGTCAAAAATTGAGATGCAGGATTAGACTGAAAAGGTGTGTTACGCACTGCTCCCATGGGGAGAAATTAATCTCCTATTTATAGTGTATGGCTCGTTCTAAACAGTGCATAACAAGACGATAACAGATGATAAAACAACAATAAAAGACACTCAAAACAGTGCTAATTACAACTATAAAGATTTATTAAATTACTATGGATTATACAATTTTAAAAAATCAACTAACAGAGTATGGGAGGTCTTGTACCGGTACACCGTTAATACAATGTGTCACAAAAATGAGGTACAATGATGAATACGAATTTACACACACAGAATACCAAACTATTGTCATGTGAAGTAAATAATATCTCCCTACTCCAAAAATGAGTCCCGCTTTTATAGTCTATCCTACTGAAAGATCTCGAACAGTCTCACACATTGTTTACCTGTATGGTCTACTCCCGAACTTTCCACATAATTTATTAGAACATAATATTAATTATTTTTAGCTGGTAGTGGTAGTAAACAAGGCCACGATCAAAGGGAATACGCCAGGCCCAATACGAACGCAGCCTAATTTGGGGTCAGACAGAGTTCAGCACACGGGGAAAGTGACGTAAACGCGTCTTCTACATAACAGGTGGGTGGAGACCGTGATCTTGTAAGCTATAGAGAGAATATAAATGCTGACTCGATTTATAAACATTTTACGCCATTATGATACATTTGCATAAAAGAATATTTTTGAGGAAACTGCTAAAAAAATACCTTAGGCGATGGATACATTTGAGTACAGCAGTGTAATTATATATGTAACTCAGACCTTTTGTTTTTTAAAGCTTATCTTACATTTAAAAAAAATATTTTAAAAATAAAAATACTAAAAGCGGTTGTCATAAAATCCTTATAACTTTTACATACTACTGATATTATTAAAAGGATTTACTCATTGTTTTTTATGCTGAACTTGAAAATTGTGTACATATTATATGATGTTTGTTATTAAACGTGATAATTCCGTCCATATTTAGGCACTTTTTATCTCTTTCTTTCCCCTGTAATTCAACTGCTCCTTAAGAACATTGATTTTCTATATGGCTATTCATAAAAATAGGGCTCTGAATTTAGGGTATTTAGAATCAAATTTAGCTCCTCCACCTGTGCTGATCTGACTTGTAATATATTAGTGAGGAGCATCTCTCGTATGAGATCTCCTCTTGGCACCCTGTCCAGGGATACGTTACCTAAGCCAAATTACCACACAGACATAACTTATCTATATACATATAGTATAGTCTTAAACGAAGTCTCTGGTAAAGGACAAATAACTATGAGTATTTATTGAATAATAATATTTACTACTCCTCCTTTATACACTCCTGGTGCTTAACATATATACATCAAACGGATTTCATCCAATTAGAAAGGTATATCAATGCAAAGCAATAAGTGTCCTCAACATACAGACGGTATCATCATTATAAATGATAAATTTACTCAAGTTCTATGCTCAATCTTGGTGGACTTAGCCTTTATAGTCCTAGTGATGATCTCGGTGGATCACACAGTGTGGGAGCTCCTTCTGTTCTAGAAGCGTGTCCCTCTTCCGGTCTTTGGAGCTGTTCTAGACGTAGCGAAGTCGGAGTTCCCGGTCGTAGATTCCGTGGGATGTCTGCGATGGGAAGATGACTTTCCGCGGTAGTGAGAGTCCCTGGATCTCGAAGTCCTTCTAGGTAGTTTGGTGTAGGATGTAGATCGATCACCAAGCTCCAGCTTCAAGGTGAGTCGGTCCAGTAATGGAAACCAGTTAGTACTCTATGTAGCAGTCGCAGTTAAGTATCTCGCTAGTGAATCACTAAATCCAGATCCTTCAAGCGTCCATAATTAAGTGATCAGATGTTAAAAGACGTATGCTTGCTAATGTCCTAGATTGCAGTTATGCATCACGCTAACGAAGTCCAGATCCTTCCAGCGTTCACAGTCAAGTGATCATGATCATAAAAGAAATAATCTTGCTTTTCTGGCTATTTATTCGAATGGGGTAAACATTCGGTGATGATTCAATTGGGTGATTTAAATTTTGTAAGTTTTTCAGTCCAATGACAATCTTTTTCGATGTTGCGTGTTTGACCTCCTACCCTCAAAGTTTAGCGTGGTGAGGGTGAAAATCCAAATTCACGCTTTGGCGTGAGTTTTAAGGTTTAGAAAATCAATAACAACAAGGGACGTTACACCGCTTTGCTGTCTTCAGGGCAATACTGAAAAAAAGGGGGGGGGGGAATGGTATTATTTTCTCACGGTTAATCGGTAGGATGGTTTGAACACAAATTGCACGCTTGGAGGGTGAGCGAACTGATACAAGAATGCGATAACAATAAGGGAAGTCCGGCGGGCTAGTCTATTGCGTGTAATAACATAGGGAGGGAATGGTATTATATTACAGGGTATTCAAGTGCGTAGTTGCGGGGAAAGAAATTTTATAAAGTCCAGCTTCAGATCATCACATGGGCCCTTCCTAAGATAATTCAATACTAGAATGAAACATTTAAGTTCTGGCTTTTAAAATCTCTTCTTTTGGCAAGCATTCCTATATTATTATTTTAACATTTAAAAAGTTTTGACTTTTTTAATTCAAAAAGTATAATTTTATTTAATTTATAGCGCAGTGAAAACTAACCTTTAAATATAATTCTAATAAGAAAATGCAGTTTAAGTCAAACAGTGCAGCGACACTCCATAGCCAAATAGCATTCACTAATCCACTTATAACTAAAACAAAAAAAGAAGGAACCATATGAACTACAATTATTTTAGTTTGGGTATGGAAGGGACTACAATCTGGTGGAAGATTTATCTAACTGTATTTAAAACTGGGTGGGGGAGAGGTTGGTTACTTTGCCCCAGGCAGCACAAGATACGTCTCAAAATAAAGGAATGATTTTGATAATTAATTAATTTTCTTTGGTAAATACAT